ATATCAGTAAGAGATTATCAAATATTTTTACTTATCTTGCAAAGGATCAGTTAAATTAGACTAGAATGTCTATTTTTATTATTAGTAAGAATATCTTAATATTATTGTTATTAAGTTTCAATAAATCTAACCCTTTTTGTAATATTGTTATTATCATCATTATTATTTTATTACTGTATTGTCTCTAAATTTTTAAACTAAATTAAACATTATTGTTGCATTAATTTAATCATTCGAAACTTATAATGGAGCGATTTCATTTTACATAATTAATTAATTATAAAAAATATATTTATTAGATATATTTATATGACTGTTATGTTATTGAGAAGAAGAGATAAGATGATGAATCTGTAGAGAAAGTTGTAATTTGGATTTAATGATTTGTATGAAAAGTTCGATGTACTATACATTTAATTTAAATCTCTCGAAATATGAAATAAGAGATTTATGGAAAAAGTTAGGTCAAATGTTGTCAACTCCTTCATTATTCCTTAATTATTAATTATTATATAGAATAGATAAGTATAATTGATTATGAATGAGGAAATAATGGCTACACTTTATTAGACTTTTTTACTAAAATAATATTATTATATTATATATATATATATATATATATATATATATATATAAATAACATCTGATCAAATTATTTACTTAATTGAATCTCTTATTAAATTATTTACTTAACTGAACCTCTTTTACTATTATACTTAGAATTTGGTTTCTCTTAAACCGAATTCCAACTTTAAACTTACCACTTTTTTTAAATAAAATATATAATTAAAAATAATAAAATTAATATTAAAAATAAAATTTTAATTTTAAAATTTAAATAATATTTATATAAAAAATAATATATTATTTAAATATATATTAAATTATTTAAATAATTATTAAAAATATTAAATAATAATTTTTTTATATATTTTTTTTATTTTTGAATAGGAAATTTAAAATTTATATATTTTTTTATTATATGAATTATTTAAGTTATAATTTTAGAAAAAAATTATTAAATTTAGTATATAAAATATTTAAAGTAAAATTAAAAATAAGTTATTATTAGTAAAATAAAAATTATAGAACATGATATTAAAGAAAAATAATAAAGGTAGAAATATTTTTATAGAGTGAAAATAATAGAGGTTTATGAAGAAGAAAACCCTCCACAAATTTCTCCTGAAATTCATGAACAACCACACCGACTAAATCCAAAACGTAATAGACGTCGTCCTCGTTGTGGAGATTGGACACCACTTTTGAGATTAAAATTTTCTTAACATTATTGTCAATAATTTTATTTTTCAATTTTTATTTTCAATTTTTATTATCAATGATTATGTTATTTTTGATATTATACATTAAATTCTGTCAATTTTTATTATTTTTTATTTATAAGTTTATTTTATATTAAAAATAATAACTTGTAATTAATTAAATAATTTTTTTACTTTATTATTTAAAAAAAATAATTTTAGCATGAATTTTTTAATATAATATTTATAATTTATCAAATAAAAACTATTACATAAATTTTTATAATATAATATTTAATTTTTTAATATATTACCTAAATTAAATTTTTATTTATTCTATTTTTTTCTAAAATTATAACTTAAATAATTCATATAATAAAAAAAATATAAATTTTAAATTTCATATTCAAAAATAAAAACAAATATATAAAAAAATATAATAAAATTTTATTATTTAATATTTTTAATAATTATTTAAATATATATAAATAATTTAATATATATTTAAATAATATATTACTTTTTATTATTTTTTATATAAATATTAAATTTTAAATTTTAAAATTAAAATTTTATTTTTAATATTAAAATTATTATTTTTAATTATATAATTTATTTAATTTTTTATTTAAAAAGGAGTGTTAAGTTTAAAGTTAGAATTCGGTTTACGAGAAACCAAATTCCAAGTACGATAAAAAAAGTTCAGTTAAGTAGATAATTTAATGAAAGATTCAATTAAGTAAATAATGTTATCAAAATTTACGTTATATATATAATATAATATAATAATATTATTTCAGTAAAAAAGTCTACTCTATTACATAATCTATTAAAACATAATTGGTTATCTCTCATTTACATAACCAATACTACTTAAATAATGTAATGTAAGGTGTAAAATGCAAATTAATTATAATTTAATTACAAACTTCAATTTTATTACTCAAATAAATATAACTTCTATTATTTGCATTAAAAATAATGCTAGAGGATACACAAAAAATATTATTAAAATATGATTTAATTAAAATAATTATTTATAATAAAGTTATTGATGGTTACATTATTTATTTATTTATAATATTTTTAAAATTTTACAATATAAACTTATAATTAACAATTAAACTCTTATAATTATATTATTAAAATTTTAAGTTGAATTTTGAATAAATTTATTTTAAATAATTATATTTTTTAAATTAAATAAAAATAGTTTTATTATTTATTTTAATTGATATTTTTAATTTATTTTATATTCAAATAGTTGTCAAGTTGAAAAAAAGAATGTGACAAAGAATAATTTTGTAAAAAATATTTTAAAAGTATAGATAATTTAAGAGTACAAATTTAAAAGGAAAAATTATAATATTTTTAATTTTAGTTAAAATTCAATAAGATTCAAATAATTTTATTTTTTGTGAAGAATTTAAACAAAAATTATAATTAATAGAAATTTAAAGAAAATAATATTTTTAATTATAGTTAAAATTTTATAAGATTCAAACAATTTAATTGTTATAATTTAAGCAAAATTTAAATAAAATTATAATTAAAAAAAGTACAATATTATTGAAAAATATATTTATCTAATTTTAAAATATAAGAAACAAAATAACATAATTACATATAAATTATATTATAAAATTAAAAAATAATAAAAAATTAACCGATTGAAAAAAAAATTGTTTAAATTTATTTAAATATATTAATGTTATAGTGGAAGTTATTCATGAATTTTATCTTTTTAATAATGAAATTTTAATTTATAATTTTATTTTTAATTATGATTTATTATATATATATATATTTAATTAGCATGTGAAAAAAAATTTGTACTTGATTTATATTTAATTATTTAAATAATTTAAATTTTATTTTTAGATAATTTCTATTTTTTTCATTTTAAAAGTGCTTATAAATTTTTATAATTTTAAAAAAATAAATTTTATTTAAAATATCATAAATTATTTTTATAATTTATATATAAATTTATTCTAATATATCTAAATTTTTATTTATAATATAAAGTAATAATTTATATTAAATTATATCATAATTTTAATTTATACTAATTTTACTTATATTGGTCAATATACTTTTATCTTATTATTTTTTGTTATACATAAATCTTATCTTTTACCACCTTTTTACTCAATTTTGTTTTCTCTTTTCACTTTCCATTCTCTTTTCCTCAATCTACATAATCTTTTCTTTCTCTTTTTTCTACACTCTCAAATTCACTCCTCAATCCAAATATACATCCAAATATACAGTTAACCAAGTTACAAAGATAATAAATTTATAAAAAGTAAAAATAAAACAAGCTATCTTACATTTATTAGATTAAAATATTTAACTTTCAAAACTTCACATATAAAATAGAAATAAATATAAACTACGTAAAAAAACGAAATAGCTCACCTTTATTCCCTATGAAATTTATTTATGACAATTGTATTAATTTTTAGTCGTCATTAATGTTTCATTTGTTGGGCAACCACTGCCCCTTTCAAATTTATTTCTGACAACTGGATTATATTAGTTATCTTTAGATTTTCACTGGTCGAATAATTGGGAGCAGCAAACTTTGGACTCTCTTTATTAATTAAAAAGTAATGTATGATTTCTTTACATTTTTCATGAGCAAATAATCAATTAATTGAATTACATTTTGAGGTAGTCGTTAGTTTAGGTAAATTGAACGAGTAAAGAGAAGAGCTAGCTACAACTTCCTAATTCATTTTCTATTAATTAAAATTTAATTATAAGTACAAAATAATGAATAAAAAATAAACAAAAGTAAAAGAATAATGATATGAAAAATAATGCCATTTGTTCAAAATAAAACCAGAGTTTTTTAAAAATACTTGGGAGTATTACTTAAAAGAAATGTTTTACAAATTGCATCATTTCTGGGAGTTAGAATATATCAACCATTAATATAGGTTAAACGCTTTCGCAAATTTAACGATAGACTAACAATAGCCACACTCACTTTTTATCGTACCAAAATGAGAGGGATGCAAGGCAATAGCATTTCTCCCAAGTATATCTACACAAACATACATACAACTTCAGATTAATAACATCCATACGTGTATAACCAAAACTTCTCATTTCCTGTCTGTATGGTGGCGGTATCTGACAAATCCAGGATAATGTAATTGCTTCATAGGTAAAGCCAATATAGGTCATAGAAAAGAAAAATTACGAGCAGCAATATTTTATTTCAAGCGCTAACGAAAAATAACCCTCACCCACCACATGACGTACTGTAAGTACAACGAATTACCACTAACATTTGTCAACATGGAACACAACGAGGCACAAAAACACCAAGGTTGGAAATAATTCTAACAGGTCATGCAGGATCAGCAACATCAAGTATCAAATTTCTTCAGAGGTGCTCAAATGCTTGAAGAAGCAAGCATAAAGAATCTAATAAAAATGTGCTCTGCGATAATTTATCGGTTGAAACTAATACTTTCACCCCATCATCCATAAGAAATTATGTTGTATTATTATTTAATCAGCTCAAACTGAACCCTTTCACTAATCTACTAGCTAGACATTCCAGTGAAAGGCACATTATAAATAAATTATGCACATACAAAGGATGCCACAAAATTGTAATGATCAGTAAGAGATATGTTAGCCACACAGTAGCACGTATAACTTTTATTCTCTTCCTCTACCATAACTCGAGAATGAAGTTAGTATGATGGTATACATGGTATATTAGTTGGCTGCATCATCATGTTCAAGAATCGGATCATGAACTGCAGATGTTGATCCTCTACCCACCGAGAGATAGGACCCTGCTATTGCTGCAGTACCAAGTACAAGCGTGGTAGTAATGGAGCCCCAAATCCATCTCTGCCTCCTACTCCTTCTTTGTCTCTCACGCCGTGCCATCTCTAAACAAGACAGAAATAACAAATGAAATAGAATAACAGATGACTCAAGCCAAACTAACTAAGGCATATATTTTAGGATAAAAACACAGTAACCAAAGAAAAGCAGGCATTTCCCCAGTTTCATGTAAACAATACACTATGAATTTGTGCTTGTGCAAGCAAAGGACAAAAACGCTCATAGCATTACATACCCATTAAGAAAATTCTACCATTGTGGGATAATTGACCACTAAATAAAAATAGTTTTGGACAATGATCAGTTATAATTCCAAGTGGGTGGCCATGACTGGTGTGTATACTGGAAGTACAAAGCACTTGTATAAGGAACCCAAAGCACCACTTTTTTTCACTGCATTAACTAATAATTGTAATACATCCCATAAATCATTTGTAGCATTAGGGCAGGTTTGGTAAAATAAAAATCTTACATTTATTTGAACTTAAGAAACTGGATCATTAACCTTTCTATAAGTTCTTATCTTGTTTCAATAAGCTAAATGAGAAGCTAATCAGAATAACTTCATATGACAAACAACCAAGTGTTTCATTTTATTGGTTTACCCAAACGCTCCAAGTAGAAATCCTCGAGAATGTATAGCTGTCATTTTGACCTACTGGTGCAATCACACTGTATATAATAAGCATAAGATATGAATTCATAGAATATCATCATAATTCAATTTTATTCCATTGATCTTTTCACAATAATAAAAAATGGTTTATTTAATCTTTCCTTTTTCTTCTAGTAATCCTCTCTTTTTGGAGGTCTTGTGTGTATACAGCCTATAATCAACATTGTTAAGCCACCAACAGCCTACCATCATTTTATATTATCATACATAAGGCCCACGTATGGACATATCATTCTATTCCTCTATTAATAAAACTACGGAACCACATTCATAGTTAATGACCATATATACAACCATGTCTTAGCAAATATTTGTGTTACTTTAAAAGGGGAAAGTGGGAGATGTGTTTGGAGGAAAAATAAAATGACAAATCAAAGCAATTATAGCTCTAAGCAAAAAGTATATTTAACAAATATTAAGGCCAAAATTGTTATATTCAGTTAAAGGTAGAAGGATACATGATATTAATAAACTTGCAGACAAATATATGACATATATCTCACCTACTGCTTCCTGGTTCCTCTGAGACATCTCCCTATTCATGGTCTCATAACAGTGGAGACGTTCCAACAGTCGAGCAATCTCAAAGTTCTTTGTCTCTAATTGAGCTTCCATCTCCATTTCCACTTCTGCCCTGGCAATTCCTCTCCCAATGCTGTTTGATATAAACCTAGTAATGTAAAGTTGCTGAAATACATCTTCCAGAGGATCAGAACTCGGCGGCGGATCCTCGGTAGTAAGGTCAGCCGGCAAAATAATTCCCATATGAGATAACCCTTGTCTAAGTCTCTCCCACTGGTTTTGCATGCTGTTAAGGGATTCTTCAGCCTGCTTCCGCTTCTCTATCTCCATCAATAGACTCAACCTTATTTCACGCAAATCAGCTTCAACATCACGGTGAGAATTTTGAGTCCCACTGTCAGAAGAGAGTTCTACAGAAAAGAGACAAGATAATCTATATCATGAAATATTTCCAAGACATATATACACTGTTTATCTCTTCCTCACATCTAATCAGTATTCCAAATATTCATTAAAACTGACAAATCAATGGATAGACCAGGATATATTTTTATCACTGCAGCTACGCCCAAACATGAAGAAAAGACAGAAAAATGGAAATCCGAAGTAATAATAGTAGTAATAATAGTAATAATAATAATAATATGAAAAGCAAAATGGCCATACACATTACACCCAATTTCAAACTCCATTGGAGAGCACACCCTTATAATTTTACTACATGCATAGACTCAATAGCAAAAAAAATAACAGGCAGTGAAACTAGCTCAACTTACCTTCCCAAGCATCAAAAAATTCTGAACGTTTCACAGCTTGTTCCATGCCTGTATTATCCTCACCATCTGTGCCACTTTTGAAACTCATTGAATCGTGTGGATCAAAAAAGTCTTCAGTCTCACCGTCTCTTTCCAAATTTGATGCCAGCACTTTATCCTTATGTAACCCATTAGGAACACCACTACTTTCACTTTCCCTGTCTCTGTGCCCAAGGTCACCACCATTGTCGCTACCAAGGCCATTATCATGTACACCATTCACCTGCTCCTCCTCAGCAATAACAGGTTCGGCGTTTGCAGAAGCTACTTGGAGATCACCGTCTGAACTGGCAACGACAGAATCATTAATCTTACCATTATTATTTGCATCATCAAGATCCTTCTGCTTCGCCTGCACATTGGCCTCAGAAGAACTCTTCAAGAGACGTGGGCCACGGCGTTTGTGATTGACAATGTACGGAGAAGGAGGGAATGAAGAAGGTGCATCTGGAAGCGGCGTCACCTCAGGTGTGGCATAGAGTGCTGGTTTTAATTGAGGACGAGGAGGGGGCTTCTTTACTACTGTCGGTTCACTATTTAGCCTCTGGAGCTTCTTTGGGACAGGCATCGGCACCGGAGCAGATTTATAAGAAGGTTTCGAAGCTCCAGGCTCTATCAACCTATCAAATGCTATGGCAGTAAAGGTCGGCATAGCTGTACAAAATCATATCAAAACGACACACAGAGGTTAAAACAAGAATAACCACGAATTAAGACCGTTTTCAGGCCAATTGAACGCAATTTTCAATTATGCATAATCTAATACATTCGACAGAAATTAAAAATCGACAAGACCATACGCAAAGAAAAGAAAATTCAGGCGGCAAAAAGAGCAAACAAAAGCAAAATCCCTAGCCTAATATAATGCCCTATACTCTCCTTAAAATACACCAAAAACAGAAAAGATGTTCGCACAATTCTAACCTAACAACAAGTTTTTCTTTCATCCGCAAAGGAAAAGTGGAAACAAATCTAAAGCAATAATAATTAGAGAGGAAAGAAAAACTAACAAGGAATCTAATATGTAGGCGAAACCTAAAGAACGGAATTCAATTCCGCGAATCCAAATCGCTATTTCTCTCTTTCTCTCAGCCGAACTCTATAAGAAATCGAAATCGATACGACGATTTTTCTCTCTCTCTTTTTTTTCTTCACAAAATTGAGGAAAAAATGGGAAAGGTCAAGAGAAGGAGAAGAAACAAACCTTGGGAGAAGAGGAAGAAACAAATATTGGGAGAAGAAGAAGAAGAAACAAATGTTGGGAGAAGAAGAAGGAAGAGGAGGAAAAAGGTGAAGTGAAAAGGACTAAGTGGTTAGAAGGAAGGAGAAGGAGGCCGCAAATGAAATGGGAGGCGTGTGGAATCGATTTCAACCTTCTACACGCTCACCCTTTACCTTCCCAAACAAAACCATTTTTCACCCAATTTTCTATTTTTGGTTAAATGTATTTTTATTTATTTAGTTATTTTAAGATTAAAAAGTATTTATTTATCGGTTTAATAGGTACAGCATATATTACAAGATTAAGTTTATCTCTGAATATTTATTATCCTTTTATTACAACATGCATACATGTTATAAGAATGTATGTATTGATGATAAATTTTACTTTAAGCATCTTTTTGTTTTTCTTTTTTGTGTGTGGTGCCACAGAAGACGCACCTCTCGTGATGGGCCCGGCCCATTCTCACTGCATGCGTCAGGTGGAGAAGCGTGTTATTGACTTATTGAATGGTTTTTGTTGGGCTTGAAAAGGTGGCTTGTAAAAGAAACAAGAATGATAGGGAAGGGTCAAGAGAAGGTGGCAGTGTCAGGAGCTCTTCTTTCTTTTAAGACAAGTCTTTCTTTAATTTCCCATTCAATTGCTGTTACATGCCTCATGAGGTCAATAAAGCAGCGTTTGAACTTTAGGTGTGCATAATTTTCCCATTTAAAAAATAAATAAAAAGTTAACAAATATATAATATTATATGCTATATATTCAATTTAAGTACGTGTTTAACCCATACATGTGATTCCGTAATCCTACAAAAATATTTATTAGTTTTTATTTTTTTTAACTATTATATTTTTAGTTTGTATCATTAACTGTAATTAGTTTAAAACTGAATATTATACAATTTACTTTCTATATACTAATTTTCATATTATAATTTTAAATTATTGTAAAATAATTTATTTTCTAACGTCGGATTTTATCTCTAAAAGTAAAATAATAACGTGTGTTTTATATTTTAAGAATTACTAAGTAGAAAAATAATTTATTTTTTACATTAAAAGTTTAATAATAAAAAGTAATTCTTATATTCTTTATATTTTACAAATTTAAAACTAGTATAAAATAGTTTTATTTGTAATATATTAATATATTTTGTCACTACAAATTATTTATAAATAAAATTATTAATATAATTGTAAAATAAAAATTTTATGTAATAACATTATTTAAATAATATTTAGATAATTAAATTTATTATTATTCTGGAAAATAATGTACAAATTATTGTTCATAATATATTAAAATTGAAATTTTAAAATGATTATCTTTTTTAAAAATATTAAATAAATTACTTATTTAGACACTTAAATTCATTCATATTTTATATTTTCGGTACTAAATTAATTATATTTAATAACAAATGAAAAAAGTACTAACAAAATGTAAAGGATTTAAAAGTAAAAGAAAAAAAAACAGAGAATAAAATAAGAAAGAAGAATATTTTCATATACTTAAGCATTTTAAAGACAATTATTTTGTATTTGTTTTAAATGATAGAAGGATAGAAAAAAATATTTTTTTTATAATACGTATAGTTTTAATATATTATAGTTATTATTTTTGAAAATTTAAATACATTTTATATATTATTTGTAGAGATAAAATCCATGTTTATAATAAATTAAATATTATTTCATAATAAGTATTATAATATTATAATTTATATAAAAAATAAATTATAAGTAAAACATAATTTTTTCTAATAAAAAAATATAATTTTAAATTTAAATAATTATATTTTAAAATTAAATGAAATTATTTTTTTATTTATTAATTTCTTTCATGAGTAAATTAGTTCAGATAATCGATTTTAAAAAAATGTTTGATTAAAACTATAAATATGTTTGAAGAGACTAAAGTAAAATAAATAGAATCATATTTACAAAAACTAAAATCATATTCAACTAAAGGTTTACTTAAGGTTCATGAATTACTAACCCTCTTGATTAAAAATACTTTGGTGCGAGAGAATGTTTATATATTTGTATTTTTTTTATTTTTTAAAAGGAGAGGCCAAATTAGAATTTTGTACGCTTTGAACCAAGCAAGGACTGTCATATAATATAATTAATTTAAGTAATAGATTTATAATAAAAAATGAGTGAATGAGTAAATTGACATTCTTAATAAATCAAACCAAGCATAAAAGAAAAGTAATCAAAATTCTCCATCTTTGATTTTGTATACGAAAACAATTAGTCAATGAGTTGATGAGGATATTTAAAACAATCAGATACTCTTTGAAATCTTCAAACGTTACTCTTACAAGCCATGACAATTAAAAAATTGATAAAACATTGCCTCACGAAATAAAAGAAGAGGTGTATCGCGTAACAAGCTTTCAGAGTTTGAAAGTTGGAATAAGAGTAATAAGATCATGCAACCAAAAAAAAAGAGTTATAATATATATTTTCTTCTCCTTCTTAGAATCATATTATCCTGAATGCATAAACTAGATTGCAAATTTTGCAATAGATGACTTGTTTTGATGGAGATATATTTAAAACATTCTCCTTTCAGAGTATTAGATTTGAAATCTCCTTCTTAGGTATTTAAATAAATAAAATAATAATATTTGATGTATTATAAATAATAGATGACTTAACAATATCAACTTAGAGGAATTGTTTGATTGTTGTACATCCAGTTAATGAGTTAGATATGTTTTGACTATTTTTTTTGTTCTCAAAACCAATCAAACTGGAACCATAAATACATATGCATAATCTATAAAAGTTACTTTTAAAAAGTCTACAACAAAGTAGATTGAGCAATTTTTTTATTTTATTTTTTTCATTTCAACTAAACAAGTTTGGCTCGGTTGATAAAATTGTGGAATTTGACTTAAAATGTATAACTGCAACTTCTTTATCTGAGAAGTGGAATAATAAACATTTAATCAACATGTCTTCAGCACACTGGATAGTCGTAAACATTTAAAAAACATGGATAGTTTTGTTTTTGCCTAAAAAAGCACTACTTATAATCAGTTGCACCCTACGACAACAACTATGTTGTAATTTAGCCAAAATGTCATTTAAAAAACTGTTAGAAACAAAGCATCATCTAGTGCTAACTCAGTATAAAAGAATATTTTGTTCTGCTATAACATCTCAGTAATGAGAGCAGAAGCTCTTTACATCACCAGAACCTATTGAAAACTGGCTAATGAACTTTGCTTGTTCCCAATTGATTCAAATGAATGACTAATACCAAAATAATCATACTCTACAACTTGTCAAAGTAATTTGACGTGAAAATCAAATGCTACGTAAATTCTTTCACGAAATACCAACGTTCTGCATTGAATACTGAAGCAAGCCAGGTACGATCATACGTAATGCATCACAGGTTTATTGGACTTCAAATCCCACATGCCTCCTTCCTTGAGATATTCAAGATACCTTGCAAATTCGGGCCTTGCCGTTGTTTTCTTTTTCTTACGAAGAGCCAAGAAGCTTAGGAGTGGGTGACTCTTCTTCTCACTGTTATTCCCCTTTATTGTGGGGTTTCTCTGAAGATTGAAGTCCCCAAAGGTGGAACCTAAAGCCACTTTTCTTGAAGAATTGGGTCTCCAAGAAGGCAAACTTGTGCTCCTCTTGAACCCCTCATTCAAAAGTGCAGTGGTAACTGATTCTTTGCCTAATCTCTCATACCTCCCAGGACCTCTCCGAGTACTCATGGATCTAAACATGGTTGGATGTTGTTGTGTGCAAGATAAGATTTTGATTGATGTATTTATGTGTGTAATTATGGTTGGTGGGGATTGCAAATGAATGAGAAAACTTGGAGTGGCTAGCACAACATAGTTGGTGGCTTTATATATATGCAGCTATAAGTCAAATTTGGATAGCTAGTATTTTGATCTCTCATTTTTTTTATTGAATAAGACATGTATCATGTTTTGAATGTTTACCACGCACATTCAGAACTGCAACTTTTGTTGACCATTTCTGTTTTGGCGTCCCCATACATGAATATAATTTTTATCACAAATTGTGATGTATGTATCCACTTCCACGAAAGTACATATTAATTTAACTCCTATTATTTATCAACTTACACCCGCATGCATTGTATAGTCTTAAGTATTTTAAGATTTTTTAAAGAAAACTTCATCAATAACATCATAAATAGATTCGACATGAAAGATAATAAACTAAGAAATACCCAAATAACTAAGGGAAATAAATTTAGTATCAAACAATTTCTTAGTGAAGACCTTAAAAGAATTAAGATGCAAAAGATTCTCTATTTGTCCATAGTACGAAATTTGATGGATGCTTAAGTTTGTATTTATCTGGTTATAACATTTGTTATTAAAGTTTTGGTAGATATTTTAAGTGATGTTTGAATGTAATATTAGAAGGAAGTAAAACAATGGAAAAAGATGAATTGAGATTTAATAGACAATCTTAAAATAATATTTGTTTTCTTGATCGATGAAAAAGTACGAAAGAGGATAAATAAATAATAATATAAATATTAAAAAATGATGGTTAGATGAATGTTTGATAAATGATGATTATTTAAATATTACATCCTGGAAAAAAAAATGTATTCAAACTCTAATTTTTAGTGTGAAGTGGTATTTTATTATTCCAAGAATAAGAGTACAAAAAAAGTCACATGTTAAGGAAAAAGTTCAACATAAAAAGTTTCTACAAAAGAAATAAAGACCGTCCATACCTTACCTACTTATTAAAAGTTTGATACCTACGTATTCCATGATATTGTTTATATATATTCTTATAGGATCATAATTTAATTAGAGTCATTTATGTTTTATGCTATTTACTTTTAAATGTGTGTATTGATAAATTTGTTTGCATAAATAAAATTGATTCTCGTGATTTTATTCTTTTGGATGAATATGTATAAAGAGTAAAAGTTTGAATGCATCGAAACATGCATTATATTGAGATCATGGTGCATATAATTTTCATGTTCTTTTTGTTTATGTTTAATCTATGTCATCAATTATGAGTGATAATGGCAATCATTGTGACTTAATCAATAACATACAATTACATGCTTAAAATATTTTGTGAGATAAATGGATAAGGTAAATACGAAGTTCAAGGAAGAAATTTTATAATTAATTCTCAGTTAATTAATATAAGAGTGGTGATATTTTGACAACTGAAAACCATACAACTCTTTAAACAACTTACTTTTATTAATATAATAATCTATAAAATGATTGAATAAAAATAAAAATAAAACAAAACTATTATTATAATATTAAAAGAGAGTTGTTTATAGGAGTTGTATGAATTTGAGTTGTCAAAGTATCATTTTCCTTAATATAATGCATCACACAAACACATAGAAAAGATATAATGTTTCAAATATCCTTAATTTCTCAAAAATAGTCTAAAACCAAAAATAATATGGCATATATATATGGTGACTTAAGGGTTAATATAAGCCAATGGAATTTGTATCTCATTGTCATTGACTGGTAAATTAATGTTTTGTCGGTTACTGTATTTCTTTAGACTTGTAGTTATTATTGCTATAATTGATAGGATCAAAATTTTGGACTTAGCAACCATAAAAACTAGAGCCATGATTTATTGACAACGTGATAACATTTATATATTGATATAATAATTATAATATGATTTAAAAAGAAAAATAATAATTAAAAACTATTATTATAATAATAAGAAATGGAATTGTTAAATAATTTTAGATGAAAAATAGGTTTTATAAATATTAAAAAAAAATAATGACACATAATCATAAAAATTAGAGAAAGTTTAAGTTCCAGTTTAATCGTTAACTAGCAGTTGAACCGAACAAGAGCCTAAAACCATTTTTCATACAATAAAATAATCAAACATTCAAAAACATGGATTTTTTTAGTATTCCCAAATAATTAATCACCAATGTAGTCATTTATCCAAAAGAGAATATAAAAAATGTTATTAAAAACAAATTGATTATCAACACCAATTCAGTATTAAAAAAATGAATTAATCTTCAATCCACTATTGAACAGAACCTCTTCATATCTGTAGAACCTATTGAACAAAGGCTGATGAACTTGCATATTTGCAGTTGATTCAAATGAATGATTTAACACCAAAAGTAACTATACTCTACATCTTGTGAAAGTACTTTGATGAGAGAATCAAATACTGAATGTATTCTTACACGAAATATACTAATATTGAAACCCGAAGGCATGCTATATATGATCATATGTAATGCATCACAGGTTTATTGGACTTCAAATCCCACATGCCTCCTTCCTTGAGATATTCAAGATACCTTGCAAATTCAGGCCTTGCTGTTGTTTTCTTTTTCTTACGAAGAGCCAAGAAGCTTAGGAGTGGGTGACTCTTCTTCTCACTGTTATTCCCCTTTTTTGTGGGGTTTCTCTGGAGATTGAAGTCCCCAAAGGTGGAACCTAAAGCCACTTTTCTTGAAGAATTGGGTCTCCAAGAAGACAAACTAGTGCTCCTCTTGAACCCCTCATTCAAAAGTGCAGTGGTAACTGATTCTTTGCCTAATCTCTCATACCTCCCAGGACCTCTTCGAGTACTCATGGATCTAAACATGGTTGGATCTTGTTGTGTGAAATACAAGATTTTGATTGATGTATTGATCAGTGTAATTATGGTTGGTGGGGATTGCAAATGAATGAGAAAACTTGGAGTTGCACAACATAGTGGGTGGCCTTATATATGCACCTACAAGTCAAGTTTGGTTAGCTTTCATGTTTATTTATTCAATAATTAATACAATATATCATGTTTTGAAAGGTTATGGTTACTGCAATGTGATTGAAAACATTCAGTTCTGCAACTTATGTTGACTATTTCTGTTTGCCGTCCCTACAATTAACAAACTAAAGACATGAAAACGAGTTTTTTGTTTTGTTTATGTTGGCCAATCTTGATTCACCTTTTAAAGTTGTGTGCCTGCAAAATGATTCATTGAAACAATCAAATACTTGCTTAGTAGACAAGGTAAGTTTGAATGAGGCAAACAGTATATAAAAATGTTAAGGAATTTGTCTTACTTCCAACATCAACTTTGTGTAAATTCTAAACAACTAACACTTGTTTGAGTAGACTGTTTAATTCCTTAACTCTTCTTCTTTTTCTTATCATTGAATATAATTCATGATGAACGTTTAGAGATCGAAGCAATAAATAAATAAATACATCCTTATATTATGAGTTCATGGAAAAGGTAGGTTTATTTGTGGAAGCAATGTGACACTACTGAAGGAAAAAGAAATGCATGAAAATCTCACTACATTCCAAAGACTCTGTCAAGAACTACTTCGATTGTGGATCCTTTCTATACTACATTGCAGGGTATATATTGCCTGTGTGACTGTGTGTACACTAATTTTACCACTTTGCTTAAAAATATATCTCTTCCACTCTCTTGTAATAAAACAGATTGAAAATCTAAACATGGAAAGATCTCATTTTTCATTTAATAAATTTTCTCTTCTAATTTACAAATGAGATCTGTTAAATTTTATGATTTCAATCAATTTTAACAAGTAAGAAACTTAAAAAAAAAAAAAAAACAATTTTAAAGTGATATTTTTTAATATTCTTCGTATATACAGAAATAAAGGTTTCACACTTGCAGATCGGCAACCTTATCAAGACTTTTTATGTAAGAAAGAATCAGTCCTCATGTCTAATATAATAATATTTCTATCAAATTATCTTACGATAGTTGCTCTACATCAATATATTTTTGACCTAGATTATCACATGTGATAACAAGTCGTATTTCGAAATGACACGAAATATATTAGCAAACTCTAGCACCTTCTGAATAATGTTAGAATGGTGGGAAAATATTTTCATTTCAAGGTGAAACTTGTGCAAATTTACCTAGTCTTTGATTTAAACAGAAAAAAATTATGATTTTTTCTTGTTTGCTTCAAAATTTTGAAAGAGGAGTAAAGTTCATTAAATTCAGAAACTTCTACACAAATTTTTCTATCAAGGCATTGAGTATCACATCTGATAATAATGCAACCACAATGGTTTTATTTTGAAATTTCACAACTATCATCTTTTTCTAAAATATAGAGGTGGGTCAAAATGAATTAATAATGATAAGTTGCAGATTAGTATGCAAGGTTAGATTGTTAGTATAATATTTAAATCCGAATTTATTTTGACTTGGCATTTATCAACCCTTTTTTTAATTGCCTCGAGCTAGAATAGTCTTTAAGGTGCTGACTAGCACGTTAGCCAAATTTATGTATTTGTATAATTGACACGATTATATAAAGGATAAATCTAATATTATATGCTAGTGTTAGGGTTGAACAGTGAATAAATTTGGAACGAATATGCAAAAAGATAGAACAAAGACCAACCCATAAGTTTAGGCTCTTTCAGTTTTGACTTCCCTATCATCTCTTATTTCAAGCTTCACAACTAAATCATGTCATACGTAATGCTTTGTTCAATAACTAACAACGTAATATATAACTTAACACTTCATTTCATTCAACAACTTGATTAAACTATTCCAAGTAATATAAATAGAGTATAGAGTGTACTGGAAATAATTTTTTCTATTTTTTTTTTTCTCTTATGAGAAAAAAAATGGTGTGGCCAGTAAATCAAGTCCAACGCAAGCACCACTAATCCACCATATAAAAAAACAAAGAATTTTTCTAACAGTGATTTAATTATTTTCAGCTTCTTCCCAATTTTTTTTCTTGTAAGGGTAAATGCTGGTAATATATGTTTTAATACATTTTTAACATAATCTAGAATTAATTAAAATATATCAAAAACTACATTTTTGTAAAACTTTCTTTCTAATTCATTTTTTTCTGATCGTATGGTTATTAACAAATTTAAATAACTGGAGGGTGTGCTTAGTAAGCGTTGTTAGCACTTGAAGAAAAGAGACTATTTGATATTATTGCAAGCACAAAACGTTGGTCACGCATGTGATTTGTTTTGATGGGTAGGGGAGAGTAAGTGAGGTATTACAAAATACCTCTCTTTTATTACAATTATTTGTTAAAGCATCGTGTTATAGTTAAATGGAATGACTTTTTGTTTTCCTTCTTCTATTTTCATAGTTTTAAGTGACATTTTTGTTGGGTAAAGATCAACTGCGATTCTCCGGTTTAGAAAACTAATGCGGGTAGTGGTGGCGTCGTGAGGGATCATCATGGACATTTTCTGTCTGCTTTTTCTGTTCAGTTGGGACGATGCACTATCAAAAAGCTGAATTGTGGGCAATTTGGCCCGGGTTGAAAATAGCTTTGTTGGCAAAATTTGGGTCATATATATATATATGATACATATTTAAATGTGTTAGGGTCATTATTTATTAAGTCAAATAATAAAGTGATCTGACTAAATTAAAAAAGTTTGGCTAAAGGCATATGTCATAAAAATAAAATTGTATAGAGACCATAGAACAATTTCTAATTTGATGAGGGGTCAAATTGGAAATACTAAAATTTAAGTAATTACCTAATTTTGGTTATTTTAAGGGGTCATGGTCCCCTTCTGGGAGCACGTAGACAGAACGCAGTTACAGTCCCGTTTTTTTCTTTCTATCCCCATCAAGAGAGAAAATCAAGAGGGAAATACAGGTGCTCTTCAGGTGGAAGACCATAAGATCAATAGTGCTCTAAAAGAGACATCATCATTATGACTAATTCAGGTACGCTTTCGCATTTAGTTTACAACATGTTTATGAGTATGAAATTATATTTATGTTTGATCATTAGAATAAAGATCATATTTAATTATCAGTTTACCTAACAATTGGTATCAGAGCAACCCATACTTAATTCATGTTTGTTTTTGGAAATTACATTTAATAAAATTTAGATTCTGTTTAATTCAGAATCTTAGGTGGAGAATAATCTCCAATTTTCATAAACCCTAAATTCAAATTTGGGGGTAAATTCCTAATTTTTAATCCTAATTTCAGTTTTCTAAGCATTCATTTCCTCTCTTTCCTCATCCACTATTTCTCTCTGTTTTCTGGTCTCGCCGGACAAACCTCTCCCGTTGGCCAGAAAACCTCTTTCGATTTCGGCCTCCCTTTTCCGCGTTTCCGGAGGAAGCTGATTTCGGTCTTCTCATTCGCACGTTTGCATTCTCCCGCAATTGGCTAATTCAGAATTCATAATACAACGCCATCGAGGTTCATTGTTGGGTTGGGGGTGTGAGACGAAGAACTTGCAGAACTCGCTGTGAGGTCCAGTGGTGATCAAGAACTCAACATTCCGGTACTCAGGATCAAGTTTAAATATCGATGGTCTCAGTGTTGCGCGGCAGGTCGCGCAGCGGACGGACCTCGCCTTTGTCGGGGCGGCCAGCGAGGAAGATACTGGCTCAGTACAGTGCATATGCTGAGATTCTGGCTGAGTTTGAGCAGTCTGGTGTGTCTGGCAAATCATTTGACTACTCAAGGATGGTCCTTGATCCTCCTAGGTTATTGTCTGGGAGAAAATGACTGCATACCTGTCCAAAATCCAAAGGGGTAGCCTTATTCAACCCTTTGGTTGTATGCTTGCAATTGAGGAACACACTTTTGTTAGAAATGTAAGCTGAGATCAAGAGGGGGGGTGAATTGATCTTTGAAAGATTTTCGCAATTAACAGATTATCAATTTCAAAGATTAAGAAATCTGATCAATTCTTGAATCACACACAGCAAGCAATAAAAAATAAATGCAATCACAAAATTAAAGAAGAGAAAGGTTCAGAAAGATATCACCAAGTTTTATACTGGTTCACCCAATCCCAGGGCTACGTCTAGTCTCCAGCCAAATTCCAGCTGGGTTCCACTAGATTGAATGTTTTACAGATTACAACCTTAACCTTACACTCAATCTAACACAAGAACCACAATTTCAGTTCCTGCACCTAACCTTTCACCAAGAACCAAATTCTAGTTCTTGAACTACTCTGCAGCCAAATTCCAGCTACAAAAAACCAGTGCACACAATTCCAGGCACCCACAATATAGTAAAAGAAAGTAAAGAAACAAACAGAAGAAACTAAGAACGCTCAAACCAGTTTTATGCAGTTCTGCAATATGTGTTTCTTCTCCAAAGAAATGCAATTTTGCCTCAAGAAAGAACTTTGATGAACTTCACAAAAACAAGCGTGATTCTCTCTTAAAAGTAGCACTTTTGATTGCTTGATTGATTGTTAAAAGTTGTGTAAAAGATATGTTTAAAAAAGTTCAAGCAATTTGTTTATATAGAAGATTTTTCAAAACTGCTGGTTTAATTAATCTGTTAAAATAATCTTTTAATCTGTTAAAAGTCTTGTTTTAATCTGTTAAATCTACTTTTAATCCATTAAAGCATTCTTGATTATTTTCCAGATTTGTTTTAACTGATACGACAACGTTTATATCAATTAAAACTCTTTTCAAAAAATCTTCTAATCTGTTTAAATCGATTGTTTCGACTTTCAATCGATTAAAATACTGCAAAACATTTTTATAAACTTTTCCAAGTGATTTTAACTGATAAAAATACGTTTTAATTGATTGAAACGTTTAGTACAAATTTTCCAAGTTGTTTTAATCGATTGAAACATGTTTTAATCGATTAAAATAATTCTGATCGGTCATAACTCAAATCTGATCGATCATATCTGGTTCTGATCGGTCATAAATCCATTATAATCGATCATATCTAGTTCTGATCGGTCATAAAGTCATTCTGATCGGTCACTTGATATACCAAGTGGTTTTAATCGATTATTTCGAAGTTATATCGACTAAAATACTGAAAAACACTTCCCTGATCTTTTTAAGTGATTTTAATCGGTTATTTCGAAATTGTATTAGTTAAAATACTGACAGAAGGTTTTCAATACTTTTTTTAATGAAAACAGTCGGTTATTTTGAAGTTATATCAGTTGAAAACCTGTTATAGAAGTGTGAAGAACATTTTAGTTGATAAACCACATATACTATGAGTTAAAATAGTTGATTAAAAATTCTTTTGTCAAAATATTTTGTTTTTAACGGTTAAAACATTTTTTAGAGGTAATTGCAGAATCTTTTTAAGTGAAGAAATCTCATGCAGCAGAAAGATAAAATGGTTATACCTAAGCAGAGCTGCACACATACTAATCCTTTTATCTTAAGTGACCTTTGACTGCCACATAGTTGCCTTTGACTTCATTTTTTGACTTCATCAAATCAACAAGATCTTTGCCAAAGTAAATAAGATCTTCGTTACTTTCAACTTTTAGGATCATTGGGTACAGTGAGAATTGTTTTCAATTGTTGGGTTTGGAGAGGCAAATTGACTCCACGCAGTTCATGGGTTTGATTGGGGTTGATGCAACAACCCTTTTCACTCCCTCTTCTGGGGCTTCCTTAGAAAAAGTTGTGGCTTCCAGGGAAATTTCGCTTCTGAACCCAATTTGGGTCTATGCAAGGACAACTCAGAAGCCATTTTATGCCATACTGCATAGGATTGATGTTGGAGTTGTGATTGATTTGGAGCCGAGACACACGGACTTGAAATTTGAGACGGTGAGGGGAACGAGGTTCCCGAAGAGGCCCAAGACAGATGACTACCCAAGATGCAGGAAACTTTACAGTGCAAGACCAATGAGAGAATGATGCAAAGCAGTCAGTTCATTATTTGGATTTATATTATGAAAAAGAATGAAGAATAACAATTAAATATGGCCTAATTGTTCAAAACAGCGATATTGGAGGCTCTATTAAAAGTTGCATCTGCATTACTAAGTAAGCCTTCGTTTTTTTCTTATCTAATCCGCTGACAAGGAAACCCATATGACTGTTTTAGGCAGTTCATCAGTTGAGCCCGAGAACAATCACTTCAATGTTGAGTTAATACAAATAAACAATTACATGCTTAAACCAAAGCATGACAGTTTTTCCAGCCTTGAAACTAATTGAAGGCGACAGTCCTAAAAGGGAAATAAATAAAAAAATTTATATTGAAGGCGACAGTTTAACAGTTTTTGTTACCTTCAAACACCCAAAAGCGCTTGAAATAGAATTATTGTTATCGATCTTCATGCTGTGCTGGGTACTATTTCATAGGTATTGTATTGCTTATGATGAAAATTTATAATTGGGGCCTCATGTCCTATACTGAGAGGGATGGAAATGTTTGAACAAAGAGCATTTGTCTATTTGTTTTGGGTTTAATGAGAAAGAAATCAAGAAAAGGCGTGAGGGACGACGTTGGCATTATGATTGACCATTTGGTCCATGGTTCAACAAGAATTAATTTGCCTTGTTAATTTTAAATAAATAATTATTAAATATTTGGTTTTGTAATATAAATAAAATATTGATTTTTTGGTAGTTTAATATTTTTTGTGAACAAATTCAGTCAAGAAGTTACCAAAGTAATCTTTCTTGAATTGGGTAGTTCGTAAAAAATATTGAATGTTAGTGTTTGTGTATATTCATGCAAGTATTAGTCAGCCCAAAGGAAGATTAATATTTGGCCGAATTACATACACACCTGTAATGATAAACATGTGATAATTATAAGGATTTGCTTTGTCGATGATAAATCAATCCAAAGACTGGTTTGTTGTTGGATGTGCTTTATTATCAATGTTTGATTATTACAACAAGATACCTCTAGCAATTAATATTACTGTCCAAAGACTTGATATTGATGGTGCATTGGGTGTCTTGAGATGGGTTAAACCATTATTTGAATATATATTTTATTTATAATTATTTATTTTTATAATTGAGCATAATTAATTTATTTCTTTTGTTCTTAATTCAGCTATAATTGCTTCTGGATCTGCCAATTTAAATTGCATTCCGGTCCTCAATGTAACAAATTTTAAGGACTGGAAAGAGAACATTGAGATTATTCTTGGCTGCATGGATATGGATCTTGCGTTAAGGACTGAGCAACCCCCTGTTCCTACGGATTCAAGTACCTCTGAACAGGAAAGAGATTATGAGAAGTGGGATCGCTCAAATCGCATGAGTATAATGATCATTAAGCGCGGCATCCCGGAGGTGTTTAGGGGCACTGTTTCTGAAAATATCACAAGTGCCAAAGACTTCCTTGCTGAAATTGAGCAGCGCTTTGCAAAAAGTGATAAGGCGGAGGCAAGCACTCTTCTTCAGAACTTGATCTCCATGAAATATCAGGGTAAATGAAATATCAGGGAGTACATTATGAGCATGTCTAATATTGTTTTTAAACTCAAGGCACTAAAGCTCGAACTCTCAAAAGACTTGCTCATTCATTTGGTGTTGATTTCTCTTCCCGCAACGTTTAATCAGTTTAAGGTATCTTACAACTGTCAGAAGGATAAATGGTCTCTTAATGAGCTCATTTCTCATTACGTACAAGAAGAAGAAAGGCTAAAGCAAGACAAGACAGAAAGTGCTCATTTTGCAAACACCTCTAAGACTAAAGGCAAAAGAAAGAGATTGGAGGATCCTAAGAAGGAAGCTGTTAAAGATCCAGAACAAAAGAAACAAACTCAAGAAAACAAATGTTTCTTTTGCAATAAGACTGGACACGTAAAGAAGCAATGTGCTAAATATCATGCTTGGCGTGAAAAGAAAGGGTTGCCTAAACTACCGGAAGCCAACTGATTCTGAAAGATGGATATACGTTGAAAACGATAAATCGGTGGAGATGGAGACTATTGGACATTTTAGATTATTATTGTGTACTAATTTTTTATTTTAGATTTAACAGATATTTTTGTCGTGCCATCTTTTAGACGAAATTTGGTTTCAGTTTCTTATTTGGACAAATTAGGTTATTTGTGTTTATTTGGAAACAATGAGTTCAGTTTGTCTTTTAATTCAAATATTGTTAGAATTTGTTCACTTTTGGCTCATGATAATCTATATTTACTTAATATTGTGGTCACTTATAATGAAACTTTTAATACAGAATCTCATGGTACTAAACTAAAATTGGACTCCCGAACAGTAAGTAGTTACTTCATTGGTTATTCTGAAAGAGCCAGGGGATATAAATTTTATGATCCTACATTAAAGACAATTTTTTGAGATAGGAACTGTTATGTTCTTTGAGGATATTGAGTTTGGGGGGAAGAATAAGATTAAGAATTTTGTATTGGAGGAAGAATCGACAATAAATCCGAACCGATTCACACGAGTTACTTTTGATAAAGTAAGTTCGGAACCTCCACAAGACATTGATGATAAACCCCATATTCAAGATGATTTGATTGTTTGTCAAGACCAAACTCAAGATCCTCAAGAACCTGTGCGTCATGAGTCGGGGATACTCCAATTACTAAGGGAGACAAGTTTAGTCTAAATTAGTGCCCAAAGGGGAATTTGGAAATTGAGGAAATGCAACAGATTCCCCATGCATCAGCTATCGGGAGTTTGATGTATTCTCAAATATGTACGCGTCCATACATAACATACATAGTTGGGGTTCTAGGCATATATTTAAGCAATTCAGGAATAGACCATTGGAAAGCAACAAAAAGGGCCATAAGATATTTAAAGAGAACAAAAGATTATATGCTCACATACAGGAGGTCAGACCAGTTGGAGATCGCTGGGTTTTCTGACTCAGATTTTACAGGATGTCAAGAATTTGTAGCATGCAATGAGGCATCAAATCATGGAATATGGCTGAAAAATTTTGTCACAGGGCTGCAAATTGTGAAATGCATTGAAAAACCACTTAAGTTATATTGTGACAATAAATCAGCTGTATTGTTAAGGAAAGAGTACAAAGTGGACAGATTTCCATAGAACACTTAAGGACAAACTCCATGATAACATATCCTCTAACTAAAGGACTTCCGCCCAAGGTCTTTCATGAGCATGTTGCTCACATGGGTGTTTTACAGTTTGAGGAATTTGTGGTTTAGTGGGAGTTAGTCACTTTCATATATTTTATGTTCTATGTTTAATTTCATATATGTATACATTGATTTTTGGACATATTTTGTTATCTATAGATATGCGGTTTTTTCGTTCATTCATTACACTTTGTACATTAAGGATATTATATCGATCTCGATAAGTTAAAGTTTGGACCAGTTGAAAATAGACGTGTACAGATCACCTTCACGTAATTTTTCATGCTACACATTTCATGATGAATCCATGTCATTTGGTTATGTTAGGATGAGTAATCATTGTTGGTTTTAGTTGCGATGATGCAATGAAAAACTGCTTTGGTTCTATATCTTGATATGATTAATGGACAAGACTTTTGGAATATACTAAATGAATATAATGACAATTTTGAGGTCGTAAAGTCTAACACATTTGTAAGGTTGTAAGGACATATATATTTGTGACCAGTGGGAGATTGTTGGCAAAATTTGGGTCATGTATATATATGATACATATTTAAATGTGTTAGAGTCATTATTTATTAAGCCAAATAATAAAGTGATCTGACTAAATTAAAAAGGTTTGGCTAAAGACATATGTCATGGAAATAAAATTGTGTAGAGGTCATAGAGCAATTTCTAATTTGATGAGGGGCCAAATTGGAAATACTAAAATTTAAGTAATTAACCTAATTTTGGTTATTTTAAGGGGTCATGGTCCCCTTCTGGGAGCACGTAGACAGAACGCAGTTAGAGTCCCGTTCTTTTCTTTCTATCCCCATCAAGAGAGAAAATCAAGAGGGAAATACAGGTGCTCTTCATGTGGAAGACCATAAGATCAATAGTGCTCTAAAAGAGACATCATCATTATAACTAATTCAGGTACGCTTTCATATTTAGTTTAGAACATGTTTATGAGTATGAAATTATATTTATGTTTGATCATTAGAATAAAGATCATATTTAATTATCAGTTTACCTAAGAAGCTTTGGAACGTGGCTACAGAAATATACGAATTAAGTTAGATTGTCATTCTGCTAGGAAGTTGTTGAATGGAGAATGTCCTCCTTTGCACAATAGTGCTTGTCTACCTTCTCAGATTCACTAATTATGCTTTGGAGATGAGCAGGCTTAATCGTAGAAGCAAATCAAGCTGCTGGCTCTATGGCTAGATAAATACAGACTTAGTTTTAATGTCTTTTAGATTCTATGTTTCTTCCAGATTTTCTTCTGTTAGAATTATTGCGGGATTTATCCCATGCTATATTATTCCCTCGTAGATTTTGACTTTGTTTGATCTATTTTCACACCAAAAATTAAAAATTAAAAATAACATTCGCACCTTATTTTATGGCCACTGGCCAGTCGTACAAACTTTCAAGAAACTAACAGCCAGAAGAGTTTAGCCAATTTCGTGCAGATTCATGATGTTTTATATCCTTGAAATAAATTTAAGATTTGGAACAGGGATTCCAGAAGTTTGTTTGGTCATATAAACGCAAGCCTCTATATGTTTTTTTGTATGTATTTACCCTTTAATTTTTGCTTAACGTAGGATGAATATTTCTTACATATAAATATTTAGGGAATAATAAATATTACAGAACCACGTTACTAGTGAAGGGGACTGCTCTTTTGAAAAGGGACATGATAAAAACTGAAGAGGGTATGCTATCGCTCTTCTGAGTTGAATTTGTTCCAAGCTTCCTGTATATTGAAAGGGCACAGAAAAGGAAAAGAAAGAAGCAGAAAATGAGAGGTCGGTTATAATAATCAATTAATGAAGTCCAAGATGCTTTATCCAACTTCATGTTTTATCATCAGAATGAGGGGTATTGGTAAAACCAACTTGCCATGTATGAGAAGTAAGAAACAAAGACCAGAAGAGTGAACACTTATTGACATTCTAGCTTGGGGTAGCAGGTTTGGTAAAAGTTGTCAAATACCAACCTCACCAAGCACATAAGTGTTAGTGGCATGCTTGTGTATTTGCATATTTTCATACGCTGACGTGTATGTGATGTGCACGTGCACGTGCACGTGCACTTGATATATTAGCAGTTCTGCAACAGCATTATGGGTGCGCTGTGGCAAAACTTACACATTACCAATCCCCCTATGCACACGGTTCACATAAATAAATCAACTGAAAGATGGTACACATGAAATACCTTTAGGAGATCAAAAACTTTTTCACATATGTATTTGTGCTGAATACTTGCTCCACGTTGCTGTAATTTGTCGGGATGGACACAAAGCGTGGCCTTCCTGTAAGCTTTCTTTACAGCAGCAGAAGTAATGACGTCTGTCAGTGGGATCGGTTGCCACCCACTATCAGGCCCAAGAATCTGGCAATGTGAAGAAACTAGATAAGGAACGACATATAATGAATCTTCGGGAATCAGGAAGGATTAAGAAATCAATTTAGTTTCATCTGCTTAAGACTTGTTTAGGACCTTTAAATCACGCCCTTGCAGTGTTTTGAGTAAAAAGTAGTTCAGAATAAAAGGAGAAACGAGATGCATGAGTTATTTGAGAATACTAAAAAACCTACGTATTGCAAGGTTGAAAGCAAAGCACGCAAATTTCCTTCTTTTCCACTTGACCACCTCCTGACTTCAATATCCAGGGTTTCTGCTAATCTCTGAAATGAGTATGAGATTGAAGTAATCAACTTGTGAAACAACAATTCTGAACCTATAAAGGACAATTGTTTGGATATAGTCTCACATTTCTCTCAGCTTGCTCCTTCTGAGCTACAAGGTCCCGCATGTTCTTTTCTTCCAAAGCTTTTGCCTTGCATTTCCACAGTCATGGTCAGTCTCAATTATTTTGTAAGTACAATTAATGTATGATTAACATAATAAGGCTAAATAACTTACTGCACGCTCAGCTGTCCGGCGATACCTCTCCAGTCTAGCTCTACACCTCTGAGCTGATTCACCTTCTCGTTCTGATCTTTCCGTAAAAGAAGAAGCTTCAAGTAAAGGACAATACCTGGTTAGAATTATATCTAGTGGAAGCAGTACCTGTTGATTGAAAGTTTATATTAAAGTGTCATGGATTTCAAGCATCGCATACCACCATAAACTGAGGAATATGGATATCTGGAATGAGTGGAGGAGCTAGAGTTCTGACAATATGGATCCAGCATATCCTGCCAAGCAGTTGTTTTAAATTCGTCACACAATTGTGAAATTTATCACTTGCATATATTTAAGAGGATCTGTGAGTACTTACTGACGATGAAGAGCCCTGTCTTCCACCGTTTCTGGACGAAACACTAAATTTGTCAGAGACAGATCTCCCTAATCGATCTCTGGACTCAACTGCCGCTCTCTCAACCTTTACTTTTTCCATTGCACGCTCTCGGGCCTCTGCAGTTGCTCTTTCCACAGCAGTTCGCTGTGCTTTCAATCTGGCTTCTGCAGCAGCCTTATCAGCATATGCTTTGTCCCTGGCCTCCCCACATGCCTTTTCAAGTCTTTCCCTGGCCTCAGCTAGTACTCTTTGTCGAGCTTCTGCAGTTGCTCTCTCAAATGCAGCCCTTTCTGCTCTCTCACGAGCTTCAGCATATGTTCTATCACGAGCCTCCCAAGTTACTCTATCAACTGCCATCCGATCCTTTCCTCTTTCCCTTTCCCTCTCAGCCTCCAGCACTGCTCTGTCAACAGCCATTCTGTCTTTCTGCCTTTCCCTTTCTCTCTCCATCTCCTCTTCAATCTTTCTGAGACGATCTTTTTCCAACACTCTTTCTCTTCTTATCCTCACAACATCTTTCTCTACTGAGGCAGAGGTTTCATCAAGATTCTTATCTTCGCTTTTCGTGGAGCTTAACACATGAGCTCTTTGAGAAGGTTTCTGGATATTTACTGCTTCTTGCACTGTAGCAGGTTCATCAGCTACTGTGTTCCTTCCATAATCACTATGCAGGTTAGCTTGTCTTGATGACATTTGGTCCCGGCTTTCTTCAGGGTTTAGTGAAACATTCACTTGTTTAGTCTCTGCTCTCTCACACTCCTCATGAGAAATTGTGCTCTCTCGACTTCGAGCATCAAACTCCATTTGAGGGGCTGTTTTAGTTTTCTCAGTGCATGCCTGTTCATTGTTAAAACTATGCTCGTTGACATCTATATTTGTAGTAGTGCAAGTCACCTTTCCTGAATACTCTGCTTCTCCTTGGGATATTTCAAAAGCCCCTTTTTTCCCACTATCCTTTAGATTTTCCATCCATACCTCTTCCAATTTCTTTTCACCAATCAGGCAGTCAGTGACACTCTTTCCAATTTCATGGTCAGCTATAGGGTCTTGACATACCTCCTGTTTGCAAATATTTTCTTTATGAATGGAGGATGAGTGAGCTGCCAGAAGATTGCCATCACTCTCTGTTTTCCATGCTTCATTGGTTTCACTTGTAAAATTAATGTGTATCCCTTCTCCCGCTTGTTCCAAAGCTTTGCCCAATCCCTCATCTTTTCCATTCTTGTTAGCATCATTGAGCATCCTGCCATACTGTTGGAAGTGACTATCCTCACGAGATATATCCACAGTTCCTTCCCAGTCAAATGCTAGGTCTGATGGGCGGTGGATTTCTTTCTTCCTCTGAGCCTCATTTCCAATATTCATTTGTAGCTCAAGAGCATCTTTCAGAACTTTCTGAAGCCATATACTATCACCCGCATCTTTTAGTCTATTTACTTTGCTATACCCATCACAAACTTCACTAAGATTCTCTTGACCTGTTTCACAAGCCTTATTTTCCCCCAGCTCAAAATTCACTTCAGTTCTTTTCTCGTTCATTTCAAGTTCAAAGTTCTGTTTAAGTCCCTTTTCATTCTTTACCTGCTCAAGAGCATGCTTTAAACGTTCATAATTTTCTTCCATTGTAAAAGAACCTTTGAGGCTTTTCCCAACTTCTTCATTTTCATATGTCTCCTTCAATTGCTTCTTGTTCTGAATCTGTGTGGCTTCAAGGATAATTTCATCTTCTCCTTTGCAAGACATATTTACCTCATGGCTATCCAGATTAAAGGCTTCATTTGATCTTTCAAATTTTTCTAGCTTCACAGAACCTCTCACCCATTGCTCACTCTCTACACCTCCGAGAGCAGAAGCTTCTCTTTGAATTTTTCCATTTTCTTTCATTCTCTGAGACTGTTTGTGCCTTTTCATACTCAATTTTAGTTGTTCATCCTCTTTTTGTTTTTTCTCACTTTCCATATGCTTCGTGCTCCACTGAACTTCACTTAACATTTGTCTATCAACTTCTTTTGATTTCTCACTCTCAACTTGTTCATGCTCATTGCGTAGTGTCTCAAACATGTCTTTTAAGCTTCCTGATTGGTCAGCTTTAGGTACTTCCTTATCGGTTTTTCCATGCAGACGGACCATTCTTGCCATCTCACTATTTTCTAGCTCAAATATTTCGGCCATATCCTCATTCTTCACGTGCTCTCTCTGCCTGCATTCCTCATTAGATAATTTAGATTTCTTAATGTTTTTTCTCTGTGCATGAGCTCCATTTCCTGCTTTATATTTCTCCTTGCATTCCTCCTGCTGAGAACCTTCAACTTCTTTAATCTTTTTGTGTTCTGTTGTAATATTAAACGCTTCTCTTTCGTTCTTGCCATGCTCATGTACTCTGGTATCTTGTACCAGCTTCTCAGTATGACTGTTATTTGTGGGCGTAATTACCTTTCCAGATTCTTCTGTTCCCACCAATTCAAAAAATTCAGTTGCTTCTTTCCACATCCCAACTCCAGTACTTCTATCTGATTCTTGAGATGACCTAGATTCCTCGATATGTGTTTCATCAAACATGTTTATAAGCCTTTCCCCTTCTAAAGATACCAGAGTTTCTGGGGCAGCCTTCCTAGTTTTCTGCCTTTCCTCTGCGGCAGAAATTTTCTTTTTACTAATTTTCTGCACACCCTCATCATTCAAACTATTAATTTTAGTTATATTCACAATTGTCTTCGCTTCATTATTTTTTACATCATAACTTGAACCTGCAATGCTTTCGGAAAACTCCTTCTTTCTCTCCAATTCCTTGGCCCTCCGAAGTTTTGCTTCAGGTCTATGCATGACTTCTTTAATAGAAGCAGCAACGGATGAATTTGCATCAACCTCCACATCAAGGAAATGTGGTGAAGTGTCATCTAGAATCTCTTCAGAATCAACCCCCTCATTGTTTGAATGAAAACCATTAGTGTACCCTTGTTTTTCATCCAGTACAGGTGGTGGTCGAGAAGGAGGCGGCACTTGAGAGGGTAGAGTTCTAAGGCTAATGTCAGACACAGTTATGAACGTTTCACAGGAATGAGAACCATTTCTGCAGCATCCATGCATATCAAGATCACTAACAAGAACCTGTTCTCCAGAAGTAAAATTAACCGGATGTGACACCATTTCTCCCAGATGGTTTCTCTTTGCCTGGCTTGCATTAAATTCCATATCAAGGTCAACATCATCAACAACCTGTAAGGAGGGATCAGTCCTAAGAAAGTGCGTGGTTTCATCAAATACATGATTGAATTCAGGAGCAGGACGCAGCTGACTTATATGACTTTTCCCCTTTGACATATCTTCATTGCCTGTACCATGGACCTTATGATACAAAACGTTGAACTCTGTAATTTCATCAAAAGAGCGCAAATGATCTCCATTTGACATGCCTTGATTAATTCCAAAATGTTCCAAGTCTCCAGAAAATGAATCAGTTTCCCCGGGCGTCCTACCAATGATGAAAGAACACGGTTATATCATTGCAATATCATATTCCAATCTCAGTAAATTAAAAAAAAAAAATATATATATATATATATATATATATAGAGAGAGAGAGAGAGAGAGAGAGAGAGAAACCGAAGCACAAAAAGTAGGTATAAAAAAACAAAATCATACAACAAAACACTTTCAAAAACACACAAAATACTGAAAAGCGGACAAAAAGCATTTAACATATACAGTAAGTCCATATAGCATATATCTGAAAATCCAAAAAATTCACCATTTAATCGACAAATCCATAATCACCACCCCTGTTTTAGAAAAATGGGGGCGGGGCGGGGCGGAGTAGGATTAAAACCTTCAATAAAAGAACAAAGCCCAGCGTCTTCCATTTTTTTCTTTGAACGATCAACGAATTTTCTCAGAGAAATATATCATCAAATATTTAAATTGAACCGGAACTCTGGCTCCTACGAATTAACAAGAAGGAGAACCATAGTTACTGTTGCTTCCTGTAAAAGCCTATTTTCATTACCATTAGCCCAAAATCCTCAACGACTAAACTAACATCACACACTATCACTGAAATGAGCAAACTCACTGCGTTGGGTTTCCACTGCGCATTAAAACAAAACCAAATCCTATACAGTAAGGGATCATGCATTTCATCAAACACTCAAAACCAACGGTAAACACCAATTCATACATACCAGGTTTCTTTCTCTTCAGCATCATTACCGTCGTCTTCTTCGGAGACACCGTCGCGAAACAAGTCCTCGTATGATAGCAAAAAATCTAGGCCGTCAAAGCCTCGGAATATTTCGGCATAGTCGCACGCGGCATTGCGGAAGTCGAAGAAGACGTCACCGCCCTCGACCGCCGGAAGATCCAGCACAGGAATGGCGGAGGCGCGCGGTGCGTGGAAGCTCGCGAAAATCTCGCCGTAATCCTCGAAGCGTGGCGAGAGAGCGTGGCCACCAGCAAACCTCGGCGCCCCGCCGTAGACGTGGTCGTATAGAGTTTCCGGCTGAAAACCGGCTCCTCCGGCGGCGCCGGTGATTTTCTTGGAAACCGTGACGGGAAACTTGTTTGGTTGGCGAGAATGCGCCAAGCTTTCCATTAGAACGTTAGGGTTGTTTCTTCTTCCACTTTCTCTCTCTACACGCTCGCTCTTTTCTGCTTAGTTCTTGCTTTTTTACTTTCTCTCTCTTGCTCGTTTCTGCTCTGAGTGAGTGCAGACACTGTTGGGAGTCAGAGGAGGAGAACGAAAACCAGAGACGATGAGTGACGAAATTGAAAACGAATGGAAAAAGGTGGTGACGCCAATTGACCAAACAACCCTTTCTTTTTTTGGCAATTTTGGTCTCCATTGTTTTTAACCAGCATAGTATAAATGATAAGAGATTGCTAAGAAAACACATTTCACATTTTTTTTACCAACTAATAAACTATTACATTATACATGTTATTTAATGATAAATGATTATGTATAATAAACTATATTAATCTAACAAGAATAATTTAAATTGAGATTAATTAACAGATGAGAAAAATATAGGGGACAGGGACAAAAATTAGAATGGTTTTAAAATAAGAGTGATGCAGATGTTGCATCTGCAGGATATTTTCTTTTTCTTTGGACCCAAAATTTTAATAAAGTAATTGATTGATTAATGGAATGGAATAATTATAACACGGAAATGAAAGTGGTTGCCGATAACAACGCGGGAAAGATGAAGAGTTGTTAAGGTTAACGTTAGCAAGATGGAGACATGCCTGCTACTTTAACGCGTAAAGGATCTTCTAACATCCTACATAAAATAAAATGGTTTTAATTTTATTTTTTATGACGTTCTTTCAGTCACTTTGTTTGAAGTCATGTACTATAACATTAATTTTTCCAACTTTTTTTTTTAATATATGAAGTTAAATTTTCATATTTTTCTATTTTATTGGAATTATCTTATATTCATTAAATCCTTTTCACTATTATTTAGTTCAACTTTTGTTTGAGAATTCTTGAACTCTAAACCAAACATAATAGTTTTAATGAGATAAAATTTGTGTATGATTAATTTTGACAGAGTTCATAATGGAATAAATGAAGATTAGTGTAGGATAATTTGAATTTTCAACCAAGGGTGGTGTATATTTTGGTGGGAATCTGGGGGACCTTTTTCCTCTGTTAGCAAACAAAACACAGACACTGTCATTTTATCTTGAAACATATATAAAGACAAAGGTAACGGCACTGATACAACGTAGGAGTGAGATTTGTTATGTCTAAAACTAAATTGACTTGAAAGTTCGTACATTGCACGATTTTCTTTTTTTATTATTATAAATGGGGTTAGAACGCTGAAATTTCCTGAATGATAATACGAAGGTTTCTTATTTTTACACAAAAATGATGTATTTTGAAAAGTATACAGAAAAAAAAAAACACAAACACTTTCATGGTATTTTATATTTTTATAATAGAACAATAAAATACTTTTATTCTCACATCATTGGTAAATTTGCTAGATATTGTTTTAATACAATATTTCTGTTTTTTTTTAATAGTTATGTATCAAATATAATAATAGGTTTCTATTTTTTTATTAAATTAGGTTTTTAATTATAAAAAATTAAATAAATTGATTAAAGAGAAACATTTTTTTTACCAATTCATAGAATAAAGTGCAATGTTTCATGACCCAAGGACTATGGGGTTATTTAATGTACTAATCCCTATATGGTTGAAATGTTTGCACAATGATATTTGACCATTGGCATTGCATAGGAAATAATAAATGAACTTTAGGTGCATTGTAAATTTAATTTCATTACATTTCAATAACCTCAAAGCAAAACAAAAGGTCAAAATTAAGGATGTGATATTCACAGTTTAGAAACTAATTGAGATCTGATTTTCCTTCCTGTGAGATAAACATAAAAAAAAAAAAATAAATAACTTTTCCGTTAATTCAAACTGCACTTAACCAAAACGTGATTAGGTGCCTTTAATAGACAAGTCCTATATTTTGCACCGAAATCCAGTGAGAAATAATGAAACTACTAACCTACATCAACCCCTTATTCAATACCTAATATTTCAGAAAATATTAACACACTCTCAAAATGCAATCCAAAAAATATCTTTATATTTTAGATGTACAACACGAAAATTAATTAATTCCTCAAATACACAAAAGTACAATCCAGACATGCATGACATAATAGTAAAAAGATGTTAGAAATAGGCACATTAAACGTGGGATTGGACCACCACCAAATGGAGTTCTAAATTGCACCCAAATGTAAAGTAAAAATGTAACACTAATATGTAAAAAACTCCAAGACTAATATGAAGGTATTCTCTAATTTCAAACCACTTGAGAACATGTGCAGCACCAATACACACTAAATGTAAATTAATATACATTAATGTAGGGCACTAATACACCAAAATGCAGTCCCACAATTAACCAAAATCATAAATTAGTCATATGCAAGATTATAAACTGGACCTGTGTCCTCTCAAACACACACATGACACACCCAACCCCCATTTTAGGGGTATTATGTCCACAACTACTTCTATGGTCAGGGTGTAAGCATTTAGATATATCAATAGCCTCTTTTTTTCTCTCTAAATAAATAAATTTTACTAGATAAACTATATTAAATAAAATATTGTTTGTAAAGAGAAATTAATTTGAAAAATGACACAGATTTTAATTTGTAAAAGTTTAACATACACAATATGAATTCTATAAATATAATTTTTTATTTATAGATAAAACCATATTTTTTATCATTGAAAGTATCCTTAGTCATTAATGTAACATGATCTTAATATTGTCCTTCAGCCACCTCTATTAGCTAATTAAATAATATGAATACAAAGATGTGGAGGAGGATAAGTCCAAAGAATAGAAAGTCATGCCAGATACTAAAAATAAATAATTTAATAAGTAAATAAAATATTAAAAATATAATTAAGTTTTATTTTTATTGGTAAATAATTTCTATATAATTATTTAATAAGTTGTTATAGATAAGAGCATTAAAATTAAATTGACTCTTAATAGAGGAATGAATAAAGGGAGAATAGTGAAAAAAGATTAAAGTTAAAAAAATAATAACAAAGAGAATAAAAGAAAACTATGTTAATAATTATGGATCTATTTTAACATTTTAGTAAAAAAATATTTAAAAATAAAAATATGAAAGAAAAAAGTGAAATAAAATGTTTTTTTTATTAACATTAACTTATGCACAAAATTAGTAAAATGATATTTGATAACTTCTATAAATTAACTAATGTATAGGTTTATTTTAATTTTAAAATTAATTTAATTTGTTTGCATGTTTATTTTTTAGAGATTTTTTATAAATTTTGTCAAAATAATACAATAAATGGTTAAAAAAAATACAATAATAAAGAAAAAAAAGTGTAAGGGTGGTAAAATAGGGTTGTTTGTGATAAAAAATAATGAGATAACAAGTTAACTTGTTTTTTACCCATCAAAACCTTTTAACATAAGGAAGAGTTAAGTGGGTGATATAGCTTGAAATTAATTAACCTTATCTCTCTCTCAATTTAAGTAACAACAAATGGATCAATAATATCCAATATTCAAAGTTCGTCTGGTTTTCAGCAAGTATTTGGCAATATGATATTCAACACCATCCATAGAACAGAGCCAGTGCATCAGATATCATGATAAACTCACATTTTGTCCCAATGATTATCCAAAATGGCACTTCAGAAAATAAATTTTTAGGGCAAAAAAAAAAAAAAGACTTGGTAGTTAATAATCTTCCCAAGTCACGCCCAACAATATAAAACATGAAAATGTGACCGAGAAGAAGTATCCTAAAAAGGCTATAATAAAAGTATATTCAATGAATACTTGAGTAACAAGTTTAATAATTATGCAAAATGTTCTATGCACATCTAATATCCACACGCACACGCGCCATGATCGTAGAACAAAGATCGTGTTTATTACTTGGTTTAAGAAAGAAAATGATTATGATCATTTCCTTCCCACTCTACCATTCAGAACTCAACTATACACCATTAGTGCTACAGATATGTTTTCCTGCAAAATATTACACGCCACACACTCACAAACATAATCTTTCGTGTACTCAATTAATCGACTTTTGAATTTTATCATAATCTTATATAGTTATGATTAATTCTAATATTTAGTTAATTTCAAGAAAAATTATTATCCATATGATATTTGGGTCAATATCCATGGCATGAATCTAGTTCTAGCCATTGACACATCCTTAATTGCCTATCTGGATTTTATTTTTGGTACCATGCTTTCTTATCATAATATCAAACTTGCTTAAAAATAAATCATCATTACTTATTGAATGCAAGAATTCAAAAGAAAAAGATTTCAGTATGGCATGTTTTCTTGCTCCAGGGATTTAATAATCTGAGACGAAGAATCGTACCTTCCTCCTTCCGCTGCCAAGCATTAAACATAAATTATTATTATATTCAATAACTGTATATGCAACTTTATGCACTTAATCTTAGTTATTGTGCTTTAAGACTCAAATGAATTCTTTAACAATTCCATGTGTCGCAGGATTCAAGGAGGAGTAGATCTTTGTAGCAACTAAACAGATTCAAAGGTGTTAAGCTTGTGTTAGAAAAGAAAAGGGAAATAAAGAAAAGGAAGATTCAAATCTAATCAAACCGTATGATTGCTTTTTCATGGGTGACCAATCACATTCCATGGAGGTTTCTGTCCTTGCGGTTGTTCCTTCACTAAAGTCAAATGATTATTTTGTTTACAGTGAAACCACTGTTTAAGAATGTTTGAATGGAAGAAAAGAGAGAATATGATAGGATCCAGTTGAAGGATGATACCAATTAACGAAATAGAAGGATAAAGGAGAAGGGTTAGTGGCTGAGTGGGTCATTGTGTCTTCTACTTTATACTCGCTCACGTCTACAACCCTCGTATTCATACACTCATCATGCTTCCACTTCATACTACTCAATTTCTTTGTTCAACAACGTCTCCATTTAATCATACTACCTCATTACTCCGGTTCATACCACAAAATGTTATAAGTATACATAGAAAAATTATTGAATTAAAACAAAAATCTAATGCACCTTTCTTCAGTCTCCAAACAAGCAACACATGTTTAAAACAAGTTTTAAATATTTTACAAATCAGCAACAGAACATCAATTCCATTGTCGTCCAGCGGTTAGGATACTTGGCTTTCACCCAAGAGACCCGGGTTCGATTTCCGGCAATGGAATTTTTTTTTTTTGTGTTTTCTATTATTTATAGTTCCACCTAATCCACAAGAAATGCTTAGAGGGACAAATGTTTGCGATCCAAGAAAAATTGGGCCCAAAACAGAACAATAAAAAAACTCATCCTCTTCATATAATTTTATGAAATTATCCTAAAATAAAATTTCAAATATACCTATAATTTTTTTACTTCGAGTTCCTAATTTTGAATGGAAAATTCAAAATATTCACATTCCAAAAGTAAAGTTTTCAAAATCTTACAAACTGAAATCTTTGTTAAAGATTTTTTTTTTGGGAGGATTATCAAATAATGAAAAATTAATTAAAATTTCACGTGATGCGAAACTTAAAATATATATAATGCTTTTTTATTATACATTTTTATAATTATAATACCACACTCTCTCTTCCCTCTTTTTTTATTAAAATATCTATTTTTTCCTTTTTATTTATATTTTTTGAACTCAATAAAGTTTATCATAAAAAAAATAAAAAGTATTGCATTTATTAAATGTTTCATATTTAATACTATATTAAAAATATCCTTTTATATATTTACATACATGCTCAATTAATTAAAACTTACCTTGAATTTGTTTTTAGTTTCATTAAATTATCTATTCTTTTACTTTAAGTTAAGATTATAAAAAATATATTATTACTTATTAAATTTACAGAATATAATATATTTATTGAAGTTAATAAATATCATTATTCTTATATCTATATTAAACATGTACTTTTTTAATTACTTTCTATACATTAATTTTTTTTTAATAACACAAAATATTACAAAATCAATAAATTTTAATGTAGATTTTAGTATAGTCTTAAACATATATTTATTTTACTAGGATAGACTTAATTATATTTTTTACTATTCAAATTTTTATAAGTCTATTTTTATTCCATCTAAATTTAAGAAAAAATACATTTTATTTTTCAATTTTTATAAAATATATTTTAAATAATATTATATCATCAATTCTCATTGTGGATTTATTTGAGAGAGTAAGAACGTTTGTTTTGAAATTTTAGGAATTGAAATATAGTGTTAATTTAGAGTGAAAATATAAATTTATACATTAAAATTATAATTAAGCCTTATATATAATAGTATAAAATGAATAAACTTATTCGTAACATTTACATTTTTTTTTGCTAAATTCGTAACACTGTTTCTGGGGAAAAGCCTCCAATGTTAGTAGAAGCATTGGATGGAGCTCATCTTTTAATATACATATAACATTAGAATACATCATCGAATCGAATTTAGAATTCACTGACTCGTAAAAAAATGTTAAATAAAACGTATATGAATTACTCTTAATTTCAACTTTACATGAATTAACTCTGTTTCAACTAAGCATTGTACCATCAACTTTTCACAATCTACTTCAGAAAGAAGCATGGTTCAAAAGCCTATTAACGTGAATTCTAGCGACTCAGAAGATGATAACAAAGCCCAAGACAAGGAAGAAGAATTGGATCTTCCTTTGGCGAATCTGAACCTTGGACCGAGAAAGAAGTTGCCTGTCATGAACATTGGGTCGTGGTAATCGTGGTAGCCCAAACAAATTCTGAAGTCGCGATGCTGATTGGAAAATTGGAAATTATCTTGGTACGTTACATTCAAAAACTCATACACACTCATGTTATTCACTGCTAATTTTGGAAACATCATATTTTAATGTATTTTCTGAAAACTATTTGTTGGATGAATAGGATCCTTCGGAAACTGTTGCATTTGTATAGATCCAAAGGGTGAGCTTTGTGGGTACCTAGAAGGGGTTGGTGAGGGGATTGATGTTGAGTCATATGTGAAGGATCATCCATTTGGGCAACCCTGCAATCACATTCCTCATCCTGTTTGGACATTTTACTCCCAAGTGAAACAATGTCTTGGAAAAAAGGGAAACCGAAGAACAATGTTTTTGTATTCTTAAGATGACAAAAATAATGGAGTCTATCTGTTTCTCTCTTTTGGATTAAAGTTATTGAGCTGCCTAAACATTTGGTCCTAATTAAATTCTGATGGCATGCACCATGCCATCGTTAATGAACTACCACAAAAAGGTTTATTTTTCTTTTCGTTGATTTGGAGGAACATGGATGTTATTTTCAGTATTTACAAGTTTATGTATCACGTTGTTGTTTGGTACTAAATTGTTTTTGGATCTACTGCACTATGTTGTCTTTTGGTTATAAGTGTGGTTATATTGACAAAAATGGACAAGTTACATGCTTAGCGTTGCAGCCTTTGTAAGAAAATATATATTTTTATCCTTACAATATTGATTTTAACTTATTATTATTATTATTATTAGAAATACAGGTAGTATTTTTGGATCTTCTTCTTCTTCCCACTTTTCCTTTCACATTTGACCGTTCCACTTTCCCATCTCCCGCAACCCAAACCTGCAGCCGTCGACGGCCTCTCCCATGGCCCAAACCCACCGGCGCACCCTACCTCCTTCAAAATAAGCAACGTTCAGTTGACAAGAGGCACCACTTAAATCAGCGCCTTGATTCTCACCAATTGTACTCCTGCCCATTTGGTAATAGTTTCGTTTGTATATTTGTTTGGTAAGTTGCATTTTATTTTAACCCACTTTCGTACAAAAGCTAGTAAACGTGCTTGAATAAATTGAGGAAATGTACAAGATACGTGTAACACAAAATGTGGTGATCAAAAACCAACCAGATTCACTCTCATTTGCTAATGTTTGAAGGAGAACAGTCAAGTGTGCAAACGTATAACTAGTTGATTAATGACAATGTTTTAGGTAAGAAATGAATGTATTCATGATCCTAAAAACATACCGGTATGCAAAACAATGATCATAATGTATTTTTGCTATCATTTTCTCTATCCTGAGTATTCTTTGCCCAGTTCTTTTTACACAAGTATGCTGATAACTACTCCTATTAACTACTTGAAACTAATAACTGAATCAAGAACTTGTTTCTGATGGGCTTTACAAAATAATACATGTTCAAACAGTTTGGAGAGTTGCTTCAGGTGTGAGGGTGGTCAACCAATCCAATAAAGCCTTGTTTACAAGTTCTGGTATCTCATCATGTGGACAATGCCCAGCCTGCAAGTTTACAAGAGTTGTTTTTGGATAGAACTCTTTGATTCGATTAGCCTTTCCTGGACCAACCCAAGGGTCAAGGTCACCCCAAAGCAGCAACAACGGGCAAGATAGTTCACTTAAGACAGCATCTAGAGTGTACTTGCTCTGGTTCATCATGAACCGTGTCATTAACCTGTAGACAACATTGGGTGAAGTAGTGAAAACAAAATAAACAGGAATAACTAGGAGAAGAAACTGATAATTAAAACTCCACTTTGACGACTATAAAGTCTGATTAGTTGGTTCATAGCATAAGTATCTAAATTGCTAAAGCCAAAGAAAGTGTGTTTCTTACCCATATATAACAAGATGAAAGCCAAAATAGAATTTTACAGCTTATTTTTAGGATCTGATAGCAAGGTATAAAAATTCGTATCACATTCACATAAGAAGCATGAAATTCTGACGTGGGGTTTGTAAGGTCTTGTCATCTTGAGCTTTCTAACTACAATCGTTGCTTTTTATGGTGCAATTCTCCCAAGGTTCAAATCAATCAGTATTATAGCTTTTTACCATGTCTCTTGATTACAAATGTGCAGCACGCATGGTGACACTGACATTACAGCATTTGATCAAGACTAGTGAAAGGGACTAGTGCAAAGCATGGTGGGATGCTGGGATCCCTGCAATGTACGAGACTTAGTACCTTGTTGGGTGGTATTCTGATGTCAATTTCATAAGGCCTTGGATTCTCCAACAATAGCTAGCTTTTATGGTGTAAAGCTCGCAATGTTCTTATCAAACATAAAGGCATTAGAATGGACATAGTCATGTACCTGTAATAAACTTCTCCGGCATTTGGGTCTTGAGCTGGCCTTGTTATAGATTCCACAAGATAGTCATCCACATTGGACGAATTTATATACACCTGTGTTGAAAAATTATGCACTCAAATATATATATATACAATGCCACTTGTAAGAGATAAAAAATATAAGAAATTGTTGAAAGGGAATACACAATCCACCAAAGACAAAAGCCTCCATGAATGAGATTCTCATCATAAAAAACCCTACCATTTTACTAGCACAAATATACTTTAATAAGATGATAGCAAGTAACATACACTTTTTAGAACTGACACAATCCGAGCTGGTTGCTTTGCCTGCCAGAATAAAAATCCAAGAACTACACGCTGGAAAACTTCCTTCAAAGGCTTTAGGATAAACTTTTGTAGAGCTGTTTCTTCAGATGTTTGACTTTCCCTTTTTCCATCACCAAATTGTCCGGCAGAATTTAGTAGACCAACACCTTTAACAAGCTCAGGCAACCCAATTGCTGCAACCAAAGCAGTAAATCCCCCGAGGCTGAAAAATTATCATGATCAGGTGAACATCATATTTATACTTTATATAGCACATTTTGTCAGTGTCAATTCTATATAGATAAAACAAAATTGTACTTGTAATTTACTTCAAATAATTAATTATTAGGCAACTCAGAATTAAGAAAAGATAAGCATTGCAATAAATCAACCAAATTTGACAACATAATACTTGAGAAGTAATTTGTTGAAGATTATTTTGCACATATTTTCTAGTTAATGAACTCTCTGTTGCTCTGGGAAGATAACATAGTAGCGCATGCCTTGGCCCTTGAGAGCCAATCCAACAGTGTTCGACAGAACAAGGATGATTGCAGAATTTGGGGGAAACCATGCATGGAAAAACAAACATTATAACTTTGTAAAGGAAAAACTAATACCCTGACGTAAATTCAGGTAATATAGTTCTAACCTATTTCCAACTAAAACTGCTGGTTCTTTTACTATTGCCTTCACGAAGTCCACCACTTGATCCCTCCACACCATGGCATCATAATCGATAAGTGCTTTGTCACTCCACCCAAATCCAAGCAAATCTAAGGCATATACCTTATGTTTCTTAGCCAATTCTGGAATGTTGTACCTGGACATATAAATTAAGATATATGATTATTTCCATATAGAAGTGATCTTATCGGACAGATAATTGAAGCCACCGCAAAGTCAGAACAGAACCACTCAAGCTTACAAGAAGGAGCTATAGTGACATCAACATCTTGTTGCAGTATTTGTTAGCAAGCACATCATATGCTATATATTGAAGTTAGAGTAGAAATATGTCATGAAAGCACCTCGTAGAAACGGGCACACTCGGTTCCTATACTTTAAAAGGTTCGGTTCATTTTTTCCATATTCATTCGGTCATTCCATGTAGATTTTGATCCACGTCTGCGGCAATATATCAAAACACATACCCTTTTAAACTATGAGGATCAAAATTTAAATGTAACCACAGCATATGGACCAAAATGAGCGTACAAGGACCCAAAACCTACTGGAATAAATGTTAGCAACACATTATCTAACAACCCTCTTTTGACAAACACTTATTAACTATTTAAAATTTAATAAAAAAATTTAAATAATGTTTTAGCCCATGAAATAAGAAGTCAAACTAGCACGATCTTGAATTTCATAAACTTGAATCAGTAATAGATAATAATTTGTTTAAAAGAGTGTAAGGTAGAAACGATTATTTCCAGGAAATGCTAGTAGCACAATCTCTCATACTTATATACACTTTTAAACATACTCTCCTATTCACTGAAATTCAGAATTGAAAATTGAAAATACAAACTACGCTGGGTCTTACTTCTAGTTTCCCAATCTCTCTTGATGTTATATTTCCCCCAAATAAAAAAAAAAAAAACTAATAATAAGTGTTACTAACAGTCTGGACACAGGCGAAATCTAAAATGAAAAGTATTGGCGCAAAAAGAAACAAAAAAAATACCTCCAGTGGAATGCGGAGGCCCCAAAACCATGAATAAGAACAATGGGGGAGCCTTCTCCTTGCACAACGTAGTGTATTTTATGATCCCTCCAAGTCCAATAATTGTACCCTTCCGCTTTGAAGGGCAATCTTTCAAAACCTGAACCCATATTCCTTCTCCGTAAGCAGGATAAAAGCAACTCTCGAAGGTGAGTCAGCATTAAATTCACTAACCTTTGGAAGACGGCTCAGCGTCCGCAGTGAGAGTAGAAGCGGCGACCGAAACGCCGGAGCCGACAATTCCCGTAACCGCAAAAGTCCTCCTGCTCATTTTGCACTTGCTTCCTTCAAAGAACACCAAACTCAGCACCGAAACGTTGTGAAAGTTAGTGAAAAAAACAGAGAGATAGTGATAAATGCGTTACGTTGAAATAGAGGGGGGGTGGTTTTAGTGAGGTGTGATGCGACGGAAGGGGAGATAGCACATATGGAAGAAGCCATTGAATTGAATGTGGACGCGAAGAACTTGGAACTGGAATTAACAAGTACGAGTTTTGTTTGGGAATTGGGAGTTATGTGTGGTGTGTGATGTTTGAGCGTTGTGGCAGACTACAAGCCAGAGACGCGCCTTCTCCCACCGTTATCAGCACTTTCTGTACTTTCCAAGTCTTCAATTACAGATTTTGAAAGAAGAGAATTGTTACCAATATTCTTTTTAACATTTTTTAAACTATGTTTTTTATATTAATCGTTGAAATTGATTCAAAATTATTATATTTGATAAATCTTACTTTTTTATTTAATTAGTATTATCGAATTCTCTTATACTAGAGTACCAAGTGAAAATGGTGATAAAATAAATTTTATATATAACAAACTTCATTCATATATATATATATTGAAAACAAAAGAAAATGAAAATGAAAAATAAATAGTTTTTAAAATATATTTGCTAAAAGCAACTTACTAACATTAATTTTGTAAAATATTTAAATCATGAGTACATCGTACAAAAGTATCTTACTCTTACTCCATCTATATCGTATTAAAAAATAAAGAGAAAAAATGAATTATACAAAAATATTTTTAAAAATGAATTTTTAATCTAATAATAAAAGAAGTTGCATGAATTTTATTTTATTTTAAAAAAAAATCTACATAGACGTCTTTTATATCGTGTGATGTAATTTGTTACGCTGTGTATTCTAAAATTATAAATAACAATTACCCACGGAATTATTTTATGGAGTTATTATTCAATTTAGTTTCGTGGTTAAATTATAATAATTATTTTGATTGAATTCGTTTTTAGCTGTTATTTTATGATGAGAGTGGGTTTTAAAAATTATTTAACAAAAATGCTTTAAATTATTTTATTCTATCTTATTTTTCTTTCAATTTTTATTTGAAGTTAACTTTTTTTAAATATGAATAATTAAAATAACACTATATTAATATTTAAATTTAACATATAATTTACATATGTAAATATTTATTTATTGATTTTTTAATGATACTATATTTAAAATATTTTTAATTATAAATTTTGTTACATAAAATTAATATTTATTTTGTGAAGCACTAAATATGAAGTTATTATTATCCAATAACTAGATCAGAAAGAGGGCCACGTGTACAAATGCCACAGTTTATGAACAGTGGAGATCTCCGCACTAGATTTCCTCTAATACACAACAAATCATACTCTACCTTTTCCACCAAAAAACAATTTTAAAAATGATGGTGGAAAGATAATATGTGTATGCCATTCAAACCACACAATTCTGCGACCTTATTTTGGAGCCACGGTGGCGGTAGCGGTGGCCGGCGATCGATTGTAGCGGAGGAATAAGATATGGGTACAACACCTCTTTCCTTATACTTTCCCCATAATATCAGAGAACTCTGAGTCTCTCCTTCATACCGGTGAGTCGTGTTCTCTGATTTTACTGGTTCTGGATCCGTATTCTAGAAGCCTCCTTCTCTTCTCTCACACTTTTTCTCCCAACGTTCCGTTTTCTCTTTGCGATTGATAGGAATTTTCATGTTTTTTTTTCTTAGATCGATGCTCTGGCTTCGTGTTAATTAATTTATTTATTTTTGGTATAAGAATATATTCTTACTTTTTTAAGTTGATTTTTAATACAGAATGTGTTTACATTTTGTGAGGACTGTCGAGTTAATGAGTTTTATTTTTGACATTTAGTGCAACATTTTTTTTTGTATGTATTAACTTGTCAGTAGTAAAGCACAAATCCTTATGATATTATTAAATTATTGTGATTATGACCCAATGTTAGTTAATTTTGGGGATTGCTTGCTTGTTTCTAGTTGTTGTCTTGAAGCTGCAAGCATTGAATATATATAGCCATGTCTACATGCGGTGTATATATGTTATGTTGGAACTCGATGATTATTTATTTAGATAAAGTACTTAGTCCCTATTTGTATAACCTTTTGTATAAGTATAAATACTTATAGGAAAAGAGAATTAGAACTTACCAGTGTATTTAATTTCTCCTTAAATTAAAATTAACAAGTATACCTTAGCTTTTGGAGAAAGTTAACGCATAAGTTGATTTGAGCTTATGAAAGAAGTTCAATTTATTTTACTTTTTTCTTAACTTTTTATATATGTTTATGAAGAAGTTTATCTGAACCAGACCTTAATTTAGTACTTATTGATAATGGAAGATTGCATGGAATAATTAAAAAAAGATCTTCTTGAGTTTGATAACAAACTTAGTGAAGTAATATGTACTTGCACGAATGCATGTGTATATATACAAATTTGTCATTGTTTGTTTATCGGTTTTCGGTTTTTTAGTTCTTGCTAGTATGATAAATCTGTAGTGGAATATATTAGAGTATGTTTCCTCATGACCAGAATGAAATGTTGAAGCATTTTAATTTCGTGGTTGTTTTGTATTGTGAAGATTGGTTAGCCGTGAGAACATGTCGTTGAGAAGCCTAGTCCGTGAGCTCAAGGAGATGAGAGATGGAATAGGAAGCACATCAAAGCGGGGTTCAGAAAGAAAGCATCGGCTCAGTCGGACAAAGTCACATATTGCTCCAGATGTTGTTGCAAGTACATTTGAATTTATTCAACAGGGACAATGGGCAAACCTACCACATGAATTGCTCTTTGACATAATCCTAAGGGTTGAAGAGAGTGAAACATCTTGGCCTGACCGAGCTGTTGTTGTTTTCTGTGCTTCTGTATGTAAATCATGGAGATCTATTACGAAGGAGATAGTCAAGACTCCTGAACAATGTGGAAGGATCACATTTCCTATTTCATTGAAGCAGGTAATAAATTTATCACCCCTTTCTACCCTACTCTCTTATGTTTCTTATGTTATTTTCCTTTTATGTATATGGATAGCCTGGTCCACGTGATTCTCCAATACAGTGCTTTATCCGGAGGAACAAAGAAAGTTCTACCTATATACTGTACTTTGGTCTGGTTCCATGTAAGTTATTTCATTGCTGAAACATTCCATCCCTTTTTTAAAAACCAAGGGATATCATATTTCTCATCTTTAAATTGCTCTTGAAAAGCTTGCATTGGTGACTATGAATATTAAACTTCAAGTTTTCTATATTTTGTTGTCATTTACTTTGTAGGTGTCAGCATCATCATTTTGTTTCTTTGGATTTTACCATCTGCATATTTCTCTTGTTTATATATATATAATCTAAAATGGTGCTTCAATAAGATAGAAATGAACTTAAACCAGTCAAAGCCAAATTTTGCTTTGTCCTTTCATGATCTGTTTGTTGATCCATTTTACTGAAGTTTGATAGAGAATTAGTGATGATATCCTATTTGAGAAGCTTGTTTTGTTTTGTTTTGGCTTTAATTGTACAGCAGAGAATGAGAATAACAAGTTCTTATTAGCGGCCAAGAGGATAAGAAGGGCAACTGGCACTGATTTTGTCATATCTTTGGCCACAGATGATTTTTCTCGAGCCAGCAATAAATATGTTGGTAAACTGAGGCAAGATTCTGGTCGATTGAAACGTAGCTGACCTTCGTTTCAATTTTCACCTTGTCTCTTATCATCATCTCTGTTGATGTTGCATTTTGGCAGGTCTAATTTTTTGGGTACCAAGTTCACCATATACGACAGTCAACCTCCCCACGATGTTGCAATTCAACCAAATTGTCAATCTAGTAGGAGATTTCATTCTAAACAGGTGTCACCAAGAGTGCCAGCATGTAGCTATCTTGTTAGCACTGTTTCCTACGAGCTGAATGTCCTTTGCACTAGAGGGCCAAGAAGAATGCATTGCGTCATGAACTCTATACCCGTCTCGGCAATTCAGGAAGGGGGCAATGCCCCAACTCCAACATCTTTCTCGCAAATATATGATGAACCTTTTTCTCCATCACCGGTGGTGAAAGAAAAAGTTCCAGTCCCCCATTTAGACCCTTCAAGCTTATTAGAGCCACCAGTTTCGGACCAAGGCTCAACTGAGCAATTAGTACTGAAAAACAAGGCTCCCAGATGGCATGAACAGCTACAGTGCTGGTGCCTAAACTTCAAGGGTCGCGTGTCAGTGGCTTCTGTTAAGAACTTTCAGCTTGTAGCTGCTGTTGATCCATCTCATAATATTTCTGCTGAGGAGCAAGACAAGGTAATCCTGCAGTTTGGAAAGATTGGAAAAGACATATTCACCATGGATTACCGTTATCCCCTCTCTACCTTCCAAGCCTTTGCCATCTGCTTGAGTAGCTTCGACACTAAACCAGCCTGTGAATGAGATGCATTACCACAAAGTGATCATCATCCGCTGAGTTGTTGATTATCAATCATGGTGGCACGCAGCTGAAAATTTAGCCGTTGAGCCGGTGGTAATCTTCCCTTGAATGGGTGTTGATTCTGGAATGTGTTCTATATGTTGTTTTCTGGTCGTGTAAAATTTAATCAAATGAAGTTTAATGATTTCTGCAATATATGCTTCCGATATTCCTCACTCACGAATGTTTTCATTTGTTTGAAGAGCTTAATGACAATGTATTATTAATATAAAAAAAATTATAACATCAATCAATCGATCAGAAATTTGCACGAGAACGAACTTTACGTTAGTTATTATAAAATTTTATTAACTTGTCACGTATGGTGATTTAAGATTAAATAACTGTAAATCTCTCTTTTATCAGTGTTAAACTTATTTTCTCTTGTTTAAATATTGAATTTTAAGTTGGCAATATTCTTTGCAGATGATGGTAACGTTATTCAAGTCTTTAACAAGATCTGAATATCATTACTCATTAAACAATCTCATAGAGGTGAGACTTGCATGTACTTAATACATTCGTTTTATGAGAGCTAAATGTCGTTCTGTCTGTGCTCTCATTCAGGTGAATGACAATTGAACCATTGGTTTACTTAAGATTCAGTTATGTCTGAGTTCAACTTGGCAATGTCATTCAGACTCATGGTACAAACTGCGGGTTTGGTTCAACTGGTTACCGTACTAAACCTGGCTAATAAGGGTGTGAAACTCACTTCAAATGGGGAGGCAAAAACACTGAACAGGTATAACTTTTTTAGAAGTTACCACCAAAACGTGTAATTTTAAAAAAAAAATTGAGAAATGGTATTTAGAAGTACAATATCACCCCAAAAAAGTAGTACTTCTAAATAGGACTTACTTTCTTTTTTTTGGTTAAAACATCATGTCATACACTATAATGTTGTTATACATACAACCTTATTTTGTCTTTGTTTTTTAAAGTTTTTAAGTCTACATTTCTAGTATCAAGTACAAGCATAAAATTGTAGTAGGCGGAAAAAAACTCATTCACATTCTAAAATTGTATAGGTTGCACGACTTTTAATTAAATGAAAAAAATTATAAAATCATGTTATATAACATGTCTTTTAAGTAAATCATAAAAAAAGTAATATAATTTTTAGCAAAACATTTGAAAAATTTAAAATTGAAGTCATGCTTGGAACTACCTTTTTTTTGGATAAAGTCATATTCACATACCATTTATCTAAATTTGTATATATTTTTTTTAACTACTCATTTTGATAAATTACAAAAGAAAATTTATATCTGTGTAGTGTTTTTGCCCCAATAAGAAAAAAAAATTAACTTTTTATCCAAGACAAGTTTTTGAAAACTAAAAAAATGAAAATTGTAAGATCATGTTAACTTTGTTTACGACTTTTTTTTACTTGCTGAAAAACTTAAATATGTTTAAGACAATCAATTATTACAACCACGTACCACCTTAATTTTTTTAAATGAAAAATTATATAAAGATTAATTTGAAAATCACAATTTAGGAGAGAAAAAATAGTCTAAATTTTGTAGAAAAATGTGAATATGTTTAAAATGAATTATAGCATAATGATATTAAGTCTGGTTAAATCATACCATTAAAGTTTAATTCTATGGTGAGAAGAAAACGCATTTAAGTTGACCAAAAAAAAAAAATAACAAACTCATGTTTTTAAACGTGCCTTTACCTATTTCAACATAAATCCTTCAATTTACCAAATTTTCACTAAAATATATCGAGTCATTAACTTTGGTTTAGTTTGGAAGTATGTGTATTCAATTTATTGACCAATGTAGTTACCTGATTGATTCACTGGTTAAACTGTTCAGTCCAATCTAAATTTTACAATATAGTATTAGAATCTTAGTCATCTTGCCATAGAGACCATTGTTTCACATATCTATGTTACAGTAGTTTTGACCCTTATGCCACATCAAAGTGATCAGTTTTTTTTGCTACAAATAAGGTTGAAGAGAAGAAAAACATTATCCTACTTCATGATTTGTGTTTATGTCTCAATAAGTATAGTAATGCTTTCAAGTAACGTGTAAAGCAAAAGTCATCGTAAGTAAAATACAAACCCCAAATCTAAAAGTCCAACATATTCAATTTTCTATTTGTGTCCTAAACACATTTTTTCTTTCACTGCCTACAAAAGTTGTGCGTTATGCATGAAATAATGATTTAAATTAGATTGTAAAATAATCATAAAACACATAGAGCCAACCTATCAAGACAAAATAATTCAAACAACAGAAAAGGTCAAGATAGAAGAGACAAAGTACATTGGTAGAGAGACATTAACTTATTAAAAGTTACTATTAGCCTGTAGCCACGCTAGAATGCTGAAAAGAATGACACAGAAGTTGTCTGTAGATTACATTCTTTAGCAGTGGAACTGCATAAACCAATCCTAGACAATACTATCTTGGCGTTAGTGCCAATTTTCATTATAGTTTTCCTGTGAAAAGTAAGAAACAATGTTGATAAGAGGGAAAAAAATTTCACACAATGCACATATAATTTTGTTAATAAATATAGAACTCTTGAAGTTGAGTCTTCAGATACTACTATAGAGCACTTGCACATCTACAACAAACTATAAATACTTGCCCGACACAAAGGGTACTGCTGAATCACTGACGGCGACATTTACTTATGACAATTTTTATAAGAATATTGAAGTGAAATATACTGGACATTTGGGTCAGTAATGATTTAGGTTGAGACATTCCAGGTGATATAATCACTTAATGAGCAGCATTCTTTGATTAAAAACCAGGTTGGCTTCATTAACTCTCATCTTATAGAAGAGTAGGTGATAAACTCCCTCGAAGTAAATTGAAATGGCTGGTGTGGAATAGGGTTCCTGCAACAGTGGTTTAAATAAAAGACATCAATCAATAAATTTATAACTGAATCTATGAAATTGTTTCAAAAGTAAAAGGAGACGCACGGTCGAGGCCCATAAACTTTGATTTGCCGCACATGAGTATCCCTTCCATTGAGATGGTTTGACAACACAGCAATTTGCAACATGAAAGTGTTCACAAAGGTATCCCTGTGATTGGTGAAAGGCAATTACAAGATTCCATTAGAAAGAAAGCCTGCTGATATGAAGGAGAAGTAATCCTTAAGTTAAATGACATTATTTTGGTTACAACCATGCTGGCTTCATTGACATTTTTAATTTCATAATAACAATCAAAGACAATCCAGTGCTTCAATAGATGAAATGAAACAAGAACTGATTATCACATTCATATGTTCCAACAAACACATCTTCAAGTAGTATGACAAACTATCCTATCTAATTTCTCAGTTCGCAATTGGAATAAGACATCCTCGGAGCCTTGAACATAAATCCAGACATCCTCGGAGTAAGAATTCAAAGAGAAATCAGTAAGATTTCTGCAACAAAAGACAAGAATTCAGTCACTTTTATAGAAGACCACTAGGCGGTAGGCACAGTATATTGCCTCAAGCACAATATCACCAAAATGCGTGCTCCAAGTTGATCTTATCACTCCAACAATACAACAATAACTGTATCCTATTAGGTATAGTCAATTACATGGATCACATGACATTAACTCTATTCCTGGTATCATAGCCAGTCCCAAGTCTCACTAAAAGAGGAGAGTTGTACTAATCCCTCGACATAAAACTTCTCTAAACCCCAAATATATCAAGTTAAAAATAATTTTAAGAGAAACTAATGCAAGAGAATTTATACATATTAGCTTAGACATAAGCTAGTTTTATCTTGTGTAAAAATCTATCTATTTTTTTTTTTCTTTCTGTTTCCTAGTAGTGTTTATAGAAAAATTGAGTCACACAGACTTAAAATAACAGGATTGTTTATTAGTTTCATCACGTTCACCAGTTTCCCTTAAATACCCTACAATAAACTATCATGTCCATAGTTTCCCCATTAAAATCAAACACAATGACATATAAAAACACTTACCTAGGATCAACTCCAGACAACGACAGATAAACCCATCCACTTGGCTTCACAAGTTCCACGGTCTTAATCTCCTGGAAATGTTCCCAAACCCGTCATTCATCAACAACCAAATCAACCCTCCCAATCAAACCCAAACCAATAAAACTACCTTCAGGTTGTGAAACCCATCACCGGCACGGATGGAAACTTTACTTGGGGTGTAACTTTCGTCCAGCTTGAAATCCGCGTACAGCACAATTAACTGCCACAACAAAAAAGATGAAAAATTTACCACTTAGAAAGTCTAATTCGTTTTATTTACGAGAGGGGTATGCCCTGTACGTACTTGAAGTTTAACTTTCTTCTGAAACTGAATGTTAACCAAATGGGGTTGTGCTCCGTCGGATCTGAAAGCACATAAAGTGTGATTGAGAATGCGAATGAAGATGAGAGAAAGAGAGTGTGAGTGAAGAAGTTACTGCCAATAGGTTTCGAGGTTGTCGTCACGGAGAGAGGAAACGCCATTACCGGGTTTGCAAGAACTGACGCTCCAAGCAGCCTTTTTCCCCATCTCCATCAAGTCATCGTCTACAGTCAGCAATTGATTTCCTCCGCTCAATTTTGTTTCTTCTTCGCCCTCTGATGATTCTGCTGCCATTTCTGAAACCTCCACCAACCCTACCTCTCTCTTTTCATTTCCTTTACCCGCTTTTATTTTTCAAGCTTCTTCAACAACTGGGAAAAGATCGCAACGGATGAATTAATTGAAGGAAGAAAACACCAAAAAGGGTTTTTTAGTTAAAGTTTTTAAATTTTTAAAAATTAAAATTGGTGTGTGGCTGTGAAACTTTAATTTTTGGTTATAATGGTTTATATTTTTAAAAACTTCAATCTATGGTTTTATAATTTAAATTTAAAAAAAAAGACTTAATTTTAAAAATAGAAAAAATTATCTAATTTCTCTTTTAATAAAAATAAAAAATTGCATCATTCTTTTATATAAACATATATTAAAAATCAAAGATTTATTTTTAATTTTTTAATTTAACAGTTTAAAATAATAATAATAATAATAATAATAATAATAATAATAATAATATCTTAATAAAAAAATAGTTTACTTATTATTAAATTTATGTTATTGAAAGCAAATAAATTTATTTACATTTAAATTTATGTTTAATTTTTTTATCAAAATGAAAGAAAATATTTATTTTGTAGCTTTTTAATATCCGCATGTGTTTTTTAAACTCATGAGTAAAAGAAATAGAAAAAAATAAGTGAATTTTTCTACTGCCTAGCTTAATAGAATTAGGAAAAAATCATGTGCTTAGTTTATTTAATTTTTTATATAAAAAGGTGAAAAGGAAATATAAACATTAACAAAAAAATTTACACATAATTGAATTTTATTTAAATGATAATCTCAATCCAACGATCTACGAAATATCCATAACATTATTCAATATTTTTTTAAAATAAATTTACTAATCATTTTAGATTTATTTAAAATTTCAGTTTAAATCATCTTAACATGATTATTAAAAAAACTAAATACTTTAAATAAAATCACTTTCTTTCATATGTACTATAATTGATTTTATTATATTTTATTTAAATTTAAACATAATTTTTTTTTCAATAGGGTGTGCTTTTAAGATAAACTTGATTTCTATATATATATATATTAATTTCATATAAAACTACAAAAAAATTATCAAATTATGTATTATCTTTTTAATCTTCACAATTAAGAACTCTAATATTCAGTTTGTGACTGGCAAGATCCAAACCAAATTCAATTGATAAAATGTAGGGCATGGATTTAAATTTTGAACATTAATTAATATTGGACTATTTTAGTCATCTCTTAGCTTAATCGACACTTCCCACACTAGGGTTCATCTAACTAGTACATCAAATCAAAAGTTTAAACTGGATTCAACTTTTTAGATCAACACCTTGCAATGGCCACCTAATAAGGACGTTGAAGATTGGATGGAGATTTGGGTGGTGAGAGTAGAGGGATCATGCAGAATCTTCATGGATCTAGCTTTGGAGTGTACAGAGAACACCAACTCATCCAAAACCTAACTCAAGAATTGTAGACTTGAATTTTAAATTTTGATAAGAAAAATTAAATTTAGGTCTTTCTGGATAAATATTATCATGGTCCTATTTGAGCTTGCCCACAAGGTCCATAATAATTTAATGGGTCTTTACTTGCAGTTTTGTTTCCCAGTTTTTAATATTAAGTTACAAAAATGTGTCCTCAACCAACTTTCTGTTTTCAAACATTTGTACGGAAAACAGTTTTTGAAAATTTGAGAAAGTAAAGGACTTCTTAAACCTTTTCTTGTCTTTTTGTTCTATTCTCAATTCATATTTTCCTGTCCTGAAGATTTAGAAGCAGATTATAAGATTGACAAGTTCCACTGGGCTCACGCATTAATGTAGAATAATATACTTTAATAACCATTCAATGTTCAGATTTCAGTATTACCGTAACAGGCAACCTAATTTGATATTAAACACAATTCACATATAGACTGAAATATTATGTGAATGTTTTTGTTAATGGTTATTGTTCTGAACATAGAATAAGCCATTAAAATATGTGAACAGTATAAACCATTCAAAATATCTATCCTAAAATCAGTTCTCAAAATATATTGTTGAAAATATACAATGTGAATTGGAAACAAAGGTTGTTCCTGTAACTATCCGTGACCACCAAGTCACAAGCGGCAAACATCCCTTTAACATATTGGAAGGACAGAAGAAAAAGGATAACCTCACAATTATCTTCTCTATCCCTGACTTGGACATGCCAAAATAACTAGACAACATAAAACAAAACACTATACTTTATCAGTTAGCAGTTACTGTACAAAATTATGTAGCAGGCTATAAATGCTTCTAAGATAAGATTTGACATCAAGAACGACTTGGTCTATACTCATGACTCAACATAAAACAAAACACTATACTTTATCAGTTAGCAGTTACTGTACAAAATTATGTAGCAGGCTATAAATGCTTCTAAGATAAGATTTGACATCAAGAACGACTTGGTCTATACTCATGACAAATATTAGAAGAGCCTATCTAAAAATCCTATCTGCCATCCAGAAACCCAAAATGTCTATTATCAACACAATCTGTAGTCACCACAAAAAGGTTCTGCAGGGTATATACAAAAGGTCAAGAAAACTCATTTTTCATCTCTTTTTTTGGGTGAAACTGAACTGGATTTTGAGAAGGCTGTCAATCTCTTCAAAATTGAAGGCTTCTTTGATGATTTCTTTTCTTGACAGCGATTGGTAGATTCTTGAGAGGCATTGGGATTTGCCTCATAATAGTCTTCATTCTCAAACTCTCTATCTTCCTTCAAAAGACGGAGTAGTTCAAAAGCATAAGCCTTTGCCATATCACTTCCTGAATTGGAGATGTTGACAAGAGAAGGAATAATCCCCTCATCCATAACCAACTGACAGTATTCCACACGTTGAGAACATAAAGCGAGTAGAATAACGAGGGCGGGTTCTTTTTCCTCATCACTGCCAGTCCCAAGTATTTCAACAACAGAAAATATGCATCCTTTTGTTTCAACCACAGTAACCCTGCCCTCTTCAGTATCACAAAGGTTTTTCAAAATATGTATACAGTCTCTCAAAAGGGTTTTGTCCTCAAAAAATGGCAGTAATTTTGGGATGCACCCTAGAGATACCATGTAGGGACAAATTTGACTATTGGATGAAAAATTATGCATTATTTTAATAGCTTTTCGTTGGAACTCTTCGTTACCCAAATCAAGGATGTTTAAAACAGAGGCGAGTACAGTGGAAGCTGCAATGTTAGCTTTCTCATACCAATTTCCTGTCAATTCTTCCATTATAGTAAGAGCTTCACCAATCACTTCTGTGTTAAGAAGACTTGCCAACATAATGCATGTATCTTCTCTTAAATTGGTCATACCATTTCTACATGAAAACCACAAAGAAGTCATTCCAGAATAAAAAAAACAAAACAGGAGCACAGATAAAGAAGGACAGCATTTTTAAATTGAATAACTTTTTTCCTGCTTTTAGGAATTCGGAGTATAAATATTCAAAAATTGGCCAAGGACGTGGAATGAGTTTTAACATCGAAGAAAAGCTCAAGCATCTTTTCCTGTTTACTCTAAACCAAGTGAATCTTGCTTTTCAACGGATAATTGTTAAAAATTTCATAAAGCTCACAAAGTAACAAATTAAAGCAGATAAATATAAGCTAAAACCTAAAGCCTAAACCAAAAACCAAATTGCAAGGGTAAAAGAAATTGTACCTGCAGCACTTCATAAATTCTAATAGCAATTTAGTTCCAGATCTCAGAGCTTTTACATCATGCCTCTCACATGCAGTGCTCAGAAATCTCGTGAGTGGGTCAACGAAATTCTCAGATGGCACAGAGCAAAAAGCATGGTTATTGCATTTGAAATCTATTCTCATATCTTCAATCAGTTGGCATTGAGATTCCCATTGACGTTCGTGGAGTTTAGACAAATGCATGAGATCAATGTCATGAATCTGTGCACGAGATTGATGCCTTTGTGAATTGTCACTGGTCTTGTTCACTATCAAATTTAATCCATTATTGACATTAGAATGGGAGGAATCTGAATTATAACTGGTCTCTAACGATCCAACTGACATGTTACTAAGATCCATTTGGAAGTTTAAATCATACAAAGAACTTCCAAAACTCCTAATGGAATTGGAGGAAGATTCCCATGAGTGCAAATATTGCACTTGTTTACTCGGGTCAGGAATGGAGACTCCATTAGTTTCACACCACTTTAATATTAGGTCCCTGAAGGCAACATTTGGAGTCAGTGCCATATGATCCAGTTTCTTTTTAGTTTTTGGGCATACAATATTACCCTCATCAAACCACTTTTGTATCCACATCCTTTCATATGTTTCCCCTGATGCAATGACAACAGGGTCATACATCAACCTTAAAGATATTGGGCATGTATATTCCTCAGGAGGTGTAAGTCTGCCCAAGTCATTGGCATGAGTTCTATACTGATCATGATTCAAGTATTGGTCTGACCTGACATGATGGATTCTTTGAGACTCATGAACTGAGTTCGCAGTTGCGATTGGTCCTTCACTTTGAGAATAGGCCACCATTTCTTCTCCCGTGATTGATTTTGTGTACTTTAGCAGGAGAAACAAAAGATTGTTCAAGACAATATTTTTTGTCTGTTCATCAGGTTTGACTTTTTTTAGCAACTTTTGAATAGATCGTTTCTCCATTAAGATGGCCGATTGGGATGTAATACCAAGTCTTGCTGCTACAAACTGGAAATGTTTTATTTCAGACGCTTCCGATGAATCTTTATCCGATGTTGAAGAATCTTGCTGGAGCAATTGGTTCACAACCTTCCCAGCTGCTTCTTCAGCTGAGTCAAGGACAAATGTAACACACTCGAGATCACCAATTAGTCCCGAAATCTGCAAGAAACATTGCAATGCCAACAAAAGCATTAAAATGAAGTTCCAAATAAATAAACGATGCAACAAACAGAGCCAGATAATGTAGTGAATAAAATAAAATGAAATATCAGATATTTCAGAACATTCTTCAGCATGTGTGGGATGTCTTAAATGTTTAATAACCGAATGGATTTTATGAATTATGAGAAGTGTCTGATTCCTATGTAGGCATTTAGCAATACGAGAAACTAACCTGAAACAGTATACAAGACACATAAAATGGACTAACCTCTGCAGCCAACATCACCGGAACCATATTCAGAATCTGGACTAAGTTTTTTACTATTGATTTTCTCGCCTTCTTGCATTTCGAGAGTATGGAATCCCCTGTCAATGCCTGAAAGTGATATTAGAACCAAATGAATTAGCATGAAATTAACATGATAAACAACATACGATAAGTTGTTTGAAAAAATTTTAACTTGGCAAAGAAGAAATGGTGTCCCTATTCCCAAGTTGCTGATGCGTATTAGAGAACACTATCTAGCTTTGTGTAGCTGAAATAATAAGTACACACCAGGTAGAGTTTACTAGATTCGGAGCAGTACAGCAGGAGTTGTGCGGCTGTATCAATTGCAATGTTGAGCAAACACAGAGCCTGCATTCCGCAAGGGCGTGCTTCTTCTATACGTGGAATTATCCGCAAGACTCTAGCAACTAATTTCCTCAGTTCCGTGCACATTGCACGATGTACCTTCAAACATGAATTGCAATCAATAAAATGCTTAGTTCCAATATGCAAAGGAGCATTATTTTTTACGCCCCAATAGTGCAAATACTCAATTAATACCCCTCTTTTCTTTCTATCTACCCTTTCTTTTTTTTTCTTATCATAAACAATATCACATCTCTCTTTGCTATTTCTTTTTCTGACTGGGTATAGACTTCGTTGGGGTGTCGACCGAACATTCTTCCATGGAAAAACGCTCACATGTCTTAGAAGTAAAAGGCAAGCTACAAAGTCAGCGCCTTTTTCTTCTACGTCAAACAAATACAAGAAGAAATAAAGAACAAAGCAATTAATTTGAAAAGTATAACTTAGTAATTGACTGAGTAAAAGGTTTCAATTTCTTTTAATCAAAATTGAATCAATTTAATAACAGTTGAATGAAAAATGTCAATAAGCATCCTCAATAGAACATACTTAAATTCAATTATTTCCTGTACCTTAAAGGAGCAAGGATTTGGCAATGTCTCTACCACTCCACTGCCATCAGTTCCCATTCAGGGAAGTATCCTAAGCTACAAAGGGAAAGAACATTAAGCTAGTTAGTTCACTTCTAACACAAAATCATGCATAGAGCTTTCAAGAAATATTTCAACGTGTGAAATATCTAACTGCTATTAATTTATGGTTTTCAGAATATCCAAATCTATGCCAAAAGCTAAGAAGTTACCACAAAAGAGTGTCTCAGGTGGTATTAATCTCAAAACTCAGTAAAACACCAATATGAAAGTAAGCATAAAAAAGGAAAGAGAAGATTTAGTGATTGAAGTTGGTATATTCCAGCCAATAAAGTATGGTATCATCATTACCTAAACGATACTACTGCAAGTCTACAAGTTTTCCAAATGGTACAAATTAACTTAAACATAATCTTGATTTTCATCTTTCAGTAAATTTACTCTGAAATTAAACTGCTGAAAAAGAAAATGAAGTCCATTAAAAGAGAGCAAACAAATAATCTGTTCTATGAGATGACATGAGTTTAGTAAATCGGAAACGATTAGAACCTGAGATGAAAATAGAATGTGAGGCTTGAAAGTAATCTGGATTAGACACTAACAAAGAAAGAGGAAGAAATGAATTACCCTCTATAGCGAAAATGATAAGAAGAAACCTTCCAATAGAACCAAGTGGATTAATTCCAAACAATCATCATCACACACTCCAAATATGCGACTACCCACCATCAATAATTAAAAAATCTTTGAAACAGTAAAACCACGAGGCGTCAAATGAGCACTTATTGAAACAACGACATCGCCACTAAGTTGATCGTATGAAGTTGAATTCAGAGAGTTCACAGCGCTTTCGTGCTGCTCTACCATTGAGAAGAAGCACGACGAACAACAAAGCGCAACGGTTCCTAAGAAACTTTATTAAAAGCAAAGTGTAGCACGTGTCTGAGTTCATGATTATCTTTTCTCATTATCTCCAAAAACAAAAGGCCCACTTTTGCTCAGTAGACGATGTCCTTCCCTCATAGGTTACAAGTGCCCCACCCCCCACAAAAGATCCCAGAGAGAGAGGGAGGACTTCAAAAAGAAAAAAGAAAATACTAATAAAGCAGAATTGATGATTAAGGCCTAATGGAAAGCATTCAATTAGGATAACAACCCACCACCAAAGGAAAAACATCAAAATAGGACAAGATTCTATCTTCAGTGAAAACGAAGCATGACATGAAAATAGAATCAACAACCATATTCCCAGGATTAAGATTCTGAGTTTTAAGGAAGGTGGAGAGAGAGGGAGGGTTGATATATAAATATTATGAAGGAAAATACTATTAGTGACAAAATGAAATTGGTAGTTAAAAGGATGTCTGTGGTGAAAAGGGACCAAGTCGTGGAAAGAGGAAGGAAACAGCTTGGCAGTCTGAGTCCAGCGGCAGTTTGACCAGCGACGAAGACACTGCATTGCCCTCGACAAAGAGCAACGAACAGTAACAATTATTGGATTACCTGCCTGTGAGGGATGCGAAGAATGTGGTCCGTCCACACGGACCGACAAATAGTCTGCGTGGGTCCCAAGGTGTTGTCTGTGACGAGGGAAGAAGGAGCTGCCATGCTAGCCTAGCGTTTTATAAGCCCAAATGAGCACTTCCCAATATTAAAACAAATAAATAATAAATACTAATGATAGATTAAAAGATATTTTTGTCTTTTAAATATATAACTATTTAATTAGTCTTTAAATACTATTAAATAAATAATTTGTGAAAATATATCTATATCACATATATCAAAATATGATATAATTTTTAAATATTATCATAATATAAATAAGTTATATTATACTTTCATAATAAATGCATAGACTTACTTAAATAACACATTTAAATTATTTTCAAAAAAATATTTTAATTTTAGAATTAAATTAAAAAATTATACACTGTAAAATACCTAAACTATACTATCATGTCCTCGAATTATATATATAATCCTCTCGTCAAATTTAAAGTTATTACATTTTTCTCTTTTTACATCACATAGATACTTTCTCAAGTTTTAAAAATATTATATATGTCTCCCTTCATCACATATCTACCCATGGAGAAAAATCATTATAATAATAAAAAGATAATAAATATAAATATAATTTGAAATTTCTAAAAAAGAATTGTTAGTTTAATTTAATCTATCATCAAGTAGGCAATACACTGTAATCATGGCATTTTTTTTTCTTTGTCTATAAAAATTAAACGTGGATATATAAAATTAATGAGTAAATAAAAAACTACTCAAGGGTTAAAATTGTTGAAAAATCAGTACATATGTTTGAAGAAAATAAATTACTAATATTTAATGGTATCAATTTTCATTAAATTTTTAAAAATAAATATTTGAAGTATTTTCTCAAATGTGATATAAAAATAAAAGATATTACATTTTTGGTATAATAAGAAAAAGGAAAAGAAGACACTAAGTACAATTTTTGTGTAAAGACAATCAAGACTAAATTTGATTAATAATTCAAACAATCCATAAACAATCGCACACTTCAAATTGTAAAAATATTTTTGATACAGTCATTTTATTCACAAATAACATTCTAATGACTTATCTCAAAAATGAATAAGACCCCTTTTTTCCTTTACATCAAATCCCAAATGTTTAAAATCTCTTAACATATCACTAATCTCCATGATGTCCAAAGTTTGTATGATGATGCGAAAATAAGAACAATTGTAAGATTGACATTGAATAAGGAATAAATAGTGAGACATCCAGTATTGTGTGGCAAAGATATCATTATTCACCATTGTCAAGGCCACCAAATGAATGATATAATCTTATGTCAAAAAAGATAACTAAAATCCAACACAAAAGTGTTAGAGCCTGTGATAATGGAAATGAAGGAGACATTATAGTACATCTAAATCTCCCGGGATCACGACAATATCATAAGACGTCATTCAAAGAGACTGAAAACATATAATTTTTATTTTTTATAACATTTTTTTACACGTTAATAATAATATTTTTTATTATCTCACATCAAAATATGTACTTTAACCTTTTTCTTTTAACTTTTTATGATAATTAATATATATATATATATATATATATATTAATCAATTTAACCCATTAATCTAAAATTATTAAATCTACCTTAAATAAGAGCATTGATGAAGAGGAGATCCATCAAGGAATCAAGAATAAATTATTACTAGAACTAAAACTAAATACAAATGATATGCACAATCATCACTTTAAATATAAATAAACAGGACTAGTTTTAATATGAATGATGACTAAAATATTACTTAAGACTTAAAAAAAAGTCATGACTAGTTGTATTTTAGCATGGAGAATGTATAAAGAAAATAAATAAATATTTATTTTTTAGAATTTTTACGAATAAAACTTTTTGTTTGGTTCTTCGAAAAAAAAAAACAATAGAGTATTTTCGTATAAAAATAAATTATCAAAGTTTTAGATACAATAACATTTGAAAATCAGATTAGATAGCCGGTTCAACTAATCTATAAATTATTTTTCAATAATCAAATTTTAACTAAATAGAAATAAAATTAAAAAAAAATATATAAAAATTGATAAAACCGGATGAATTTTTAAATTAAATCTTAATTTTTTTTAATAAAAGATATAATATATTTTAATTTTTTTAATTCTTTATTTTATATTAATTACATCAATTTTAAATAATAATTATTTTATTTTATTATAATATATTTTTTATTTAAAATATTTTTTATTTTATAAAAAATATTATTATTAATAAATTTATCATATATTTATTATATTATAAAAATATTATTTTATTAAATATGATATATTCTATCAAATCTATATCAAATTTTTAAATCTTAAATTTATATCTTCACTGTTCAGTAAAACTAAGAATTTGTAAATTTATTAAATAAATTAATATAAATGAGTCTACCTTCTCTCCTTTAGTATCGAGAGCCTCTATAAATAACTATGAACTTCTTTCATTTAAATTTTATCTTATATTTTTTACATTAAAATTATACTTTTCATTTATACTTATCTTGACTATTTCTTTTATATTTTAATTTTCCTTTGATACTTTGTTCATGTCTTAGTGAGTTATTGGAAGAATTAAATGGGTTTTGTACTCATTCATCAGATTTAATCTATAAGTTTCTATTGGTTTTTTTTTTCTATTTCATTTTAATATAATATTATTATAATCAATTTCATAAATTATATTTTAAAAAAATTACTTAAATAGAATCTTTCTAAATTTATTTAGATTTATTTATTGTTGGTACACAACATTCAATAAAAAAATTTCTTTTTATTAATTATTTTTTTCTCTCTTCATTTATTTTTTATTATTCTTTTCTTTTTTATTTTCATTTTGTGTATCTTATTTTCTTCTATCCTGTTTTGTTCTTTTCTCACTTTATCTTATTATTTAATTGAAATTAGTATATTAAAATTTGATAAGGTGAAATTTTTATTATTATAAAAAATATTTAAATAATATATTATATTTAAAAAATATTATATGATAAATTTGAAATATCATAAATATCGCTGTTATATTATAATTTAAATATAACTAAATTAAATTATTAAATAAAAAATATTTAATTTATAAATATTTGATATTTTTTAATCAGAATAGTTATTATTTTTATAAAATAATTTTAAATTAACTATTTATTGTCAAAATAATTTTGGTGAAATATAGGATTCATTCAATATTATTATATATTTATTTTTTTATTTTTTTAAGTAATAGATGGTTGTCCTGATCTTTATGATCCTAGGTTCTAGTTAGATTTTGATTGGTTAAACGTTGTTCCTAGATCATTTACTAAATCATTTAAAACAACCTATCACAGAAGAGTGTATGATTTGATTTTAATTCTTAAAATTAATTTGATATATCTTAAAATTTCAAACCTATATTTTTTTTTATATCCATCAACTAGCACGTTACACAATTTTTATTTTTTTTAATCATAATTTCTTGGATAATAGAACAAATCAAATATTTGTGA